TGAAGTGATATTGGAGGGTGGTAAAAATCCAGATAATACATGCGTCTGACCTTACTAGATGAGCTTGGACAAAGAGATGATTTTAAGTTAAGCCAGCAAGACTGTACGGCTATCATGAAAGTTGGGGTAAGGCTACATAAATTTGATGTTGTGGAGAGTCTCTTTCATTGGTTTAGACAATCTGGAAGGGATCCAAGTGTGGTTATGTACACTACCCTCATTCTAAGCCGTTATTCTGAGAAGAAATACAGGGAAGCATTGACTGTTGTTGGGATATGGAGGCTTCAAACTGTCTCTTTGATCTTCCGGCTTATCGAGTTGTTATTAAGCTTTTGTGCTTTGAATGATCTTTCAAGGGCTGTGAGATACTTTCGAAACTTAGGAAGCTGGTTTCTCTCAACATATGACATATACCGGGATATGATTAAAATATACATGGTTTCTGGGAGGTTGGCAAAGTGCAAGGAGGTTTGCAGGGAAGCAGAGTTAGCAGGTTTCAAGTTGTATGAACAGTTGGTGTCAAGATTTGTTGCAAATTGAAAGAGAAACAAGGATAGTAGTTGAAATTTCTGTGTTTTTAATGTGATATTTTCTGTATTAATCATGACACCATTTTCTCTCATGTATATGTATATGTAATATATTTCTGAACTAGATTCTTTCGTCTAAAAAAGTGAAATGAAAATTCAACTGCCTTTCACTACAAACGGTTTTTTGGATCCTGGACTTTAACATTATTTCTACTTCTGAGAGGGTCTTAATGAAGACAATTATTGTTAGTTATACCATAAATGAAGGTGCGTGTGGGCTCACTGTAAGTTGTATTTCTAGTTCACATCATCCAATTATAAATATTTCCCAACAGTTATCACGAAGAAATATCCATAATTTACATTTTTATTGGTTTGGACTTCTTTGCTTCTGATCAAAAAATTCTGACTACTGTGGACTGACATGACTAATCTTTGATGTCTATTTGGTGATTATATATTGGGGTCTATTGCATTTTTTTCTTCAGCTTGATGTGCTTTTCGAATGTTGTTTCTTTAGTCTCTACATTTCGAGAATAACTGCTGAGATTTGTTGTACTAATCAGAATAAATATAGAAAAGATGAAGGCATATTGATTGATTTCCCTTTAATTAATTCATTATCTTCATGTGTTGACAGATACATCAACTAAGACATGGATGCATGCATACAAACAAATGGATGATTAATTCCTTATTCTCACCATATGTTTCATTATCTCTAGTCTTTCAGCTTCGGAATATAGTATTTCACAGTTTTTCCTTCCACATATCCTTTTCAAGATACTTCTCATAAAAGCTTGCTTGCCCACTTGCTTCTACGGTCACCGCAGCAGTGGCTTCTTGTGCCATAACGTCCTGTATAGCAGATATATCTGATAAATAAAGAGTTTTCATGAGAGCAAATAGAAAGTATATGAATTAACATTTACCAGTGGGGTGTCACTTCAACGAACACAGAGCTTAGACTGTATTCCCCATCAAGTGAACAAATACCAGGTAACTGCTTTCATTGCCTTAATTGAGTCCGTCATTAGTTTTTCGGCCATCTCTTTCACAGGTAATTCACCATCCCCATAATTAATCAACAGTTCTTTAAAATTCAGTCCCAGACGTGAGCCTACAGGTGAATTTTAGTTACAAGTTTTGGAAGTAGAGATTAGTCATAGTGCAAGAAAGAGTTTAGTCAAACCTTGTGCCAGGGTGAATCAAGTTTTGCATTTGAAAGCACATGAATGCCTGGGCAAATATATGGTGATGGGTTCTCCTTTGGGTCGATTGGAGACATAAACCATAGTCTTAGAAAACATGTCAGCCAATATCAGGTTAAACCCGTTGTATTGGTGAGCCTCTGTCACTAGTTCCTGTGCAAATTCCCTCGGACTCTTTGTACTCTGCACTAGTATTCTCAGTTCACTACTTGATGAGTATAATAATACTATTAGAAAGAAGAAAACAAATATTTACCTCCAAGAAAAGCACAGGCAAATCTCCTCGACTCTTTGCCTCAGGGAGGGTATGAAGCTCCAACACATTGGTGAGAAAAGCCACTCTGCCTGTTCTGAACAAGCTAACCATGTCCCTCCAGCCAGTTCACTCTCTCCTCCTAATATTTCACACCATCCACCCATCCCACTGGCTTTGTAGGCCTAGAGCCACCACCCAAAAAAAAAAAACACAAACCGATTAGTCGAAGACAAGCACCAAAAACACAAATGCATAAATATATAACAAGGAAAAGAAGTGCATGCCTCTGATGATATTCATCTCTGTTTTGCAAGAGCAGTAGAGGGTAGAGAGGATGAGCTTGCCAAATAAAAGCAGCTATACACATTTTGATTAAAGTATGAAACAGTAGAGTGTCAAAAGCTAGAATGATGAATATAATGGGAATTGAAATAAGAGAGTGGAAGAGATAAGCATAAGTTCTTTTTCCTGCATATGTTTTTCTCTGCTGATATAAGCATGGCAGCTGGCTATATATAAACTTTAAACAGGTGACAGAAGAAGCTACCAATTTAACGCACGCAGTAAACGGGTTTGACATATCTCTTTATATTCATTTTTAAACTTATCTTGTAACTATACTCATATTACTTCAACTTTGTCTTAAGAGGAAGAGAATTGTTAAACTACAGCTTGCCAGCTTGGTTAAGGGGCAGATCCAAAATCCTATCCAAATTCTTATTAAAGTACGGGAAAAAGCAGTGTAATTAAAGCCTACAATTGGTGTTCAAAACTGGAAATGTGCGGTGTTACTTGAGGCAATTAAAGGACAGAGGCGACTTGTTTGGTGGCCAATTCGTTTGGTAGATGCATATTACATAACATAAGAGGTGATTATTTGAAGAAATCAGGAGGCCGCCGCCATTCTAATTAATTACATATTCTTGGTTTTTAATTCTGTTTGGTTAAATTCCATGTGCTTAGGTCTATTGGTTTTCTCTGCCCAATTTGTCGGCTGTCTTCATTGCTTAATTAAGTTTTAGCCTACTTTCCCTTTTTTAAGATAATATTTACGTATAGATTCTTGATATTATTATTGTAAATTACTTAATTTTATTATATATATATATATATATATATTTTTTTTTTTTTTTCTGTAACCAAGGTGTCTAGATAGCTTATACACATCTCGACTAATTCTCTGGAGAGACTAATACAAACAATCTATTATCATGACCTCTCACTTAAATTATATATGTTTAGATAGAGAATCGAACTTGAAATCGTATATTCGTTTGGTTCAAAATTGGGAATACTACTTTTAGTATTCCCAAAAAAGTTAAACAGTAAAATACCCAAAAACTCTCATTTTTGGGAATACTACTTTCAATATTATTCAATTTTTTTAAACCCTCTAAATTTGTTAATTTAATTAAATACCCCTAAACATTTTTTTAAAATTACAAAAACACCCCAACAATCCACATTTGCCAGATTCCGGAATCTGGTAGGATGGCGCACTACCGACTGAATCTGGACGGTAGTGCACCGCTTTAACCTTTTCCGGTTAGATCCACGGTGGATTTGGCCGGAAAAGGTCAGATCTAAGGCCAAAGATCTGGCCGTTGACGGCTAGATCTTTGGCCGTAACAGTCGGTCACGACGGCCAACAAACGGTCGTCGTTGACCATCAACGACGACCGTTTGTTAGCCGTCATTGAGAGCAAATACGACTAGATCTGGCCGTAATCTGGCCTTTGCCGGCCATATCCACCGTAGATCTGGCCGAAAAAGGCCGTATCGGCGCATGACAGGCAAGATCCAGCCGGTCATACACCGATAAGGCGACTCTGGCCACCTCCGGTGGTGGTGGCCGACTGGGGGTATTTGAGGGTGGGTTGGGGGTGTTTTTATTAACTTTTAATGTTTTATTATAAGAGGTATTTTGTAAAAAAACAAACATAGGGGGCATTTTATTAATTTATAAATCTTACATCGTAATACCAGCCCAATTCAACTTTTTTTTAACTTTTTTCAAAAAAAATTTTTCAAAACCCCCAAATTTTGAACCAAACAAAGCTTAGAGCATTGAGAATGAGAACAACCCTTCAATAGTTTTACTTATCCACATTATCCCTAATTCGTCCTATCTATCTAAAAGTCAAGAATGAATTTAATTTGACTAATTCATTGAGCCGTAAATCATACGCGAACAAATTTATAACCATTACAATGATTGTAGTAGTATCAACATTTATTAATAAAGAAAGTATCTACCCTCCCCAACGCCAACGCCCAATACAAATCTGAAAGCACAACCAATTTTGAGGCTTTGTTATTGCCAAACACGACCTACAACATTATGAATGATAGAACCCCACTCACCGATTCTTTGGGTAAATCGTAAATGTTTCATTATGCAGACACCTAAATCTATGCCCTTCCTCAACCCATTTCACTATCTTATATTAAAATCCATATAATCCCAATCCAATCAATCTTTGTCACAATATGAACATTACCACGTTCAATTTCGTGACATTAAATAACAAAATCCACGTTTGCACCACCAACAACAAATGCGGCTTAAAGGAGCTTTGAAATTATGACCGTCCGTCCTCACCCCAAAAAAATCAAAATCATTCTGGTGGGGCTTGTATTGTATTCAGAGATTCTAAATGTTGTTTGTTACACACGAAAAGAATCAACTATAAAGTATAAAGTCTGTGTGATTTGTACATTCAATATAATTAAATATTTTATAATTCAATTTAAATAATCGGATCGGGTTTGTTTGATGTATGACAGATCCTGAGGGTTTGTCCGATTTTGTCAAGAAAAAACGACTCCAGATGATAAGAATGTTTTTGTGTAAATTATTAATTTTATAAATATATCACGTGTATAGGCAACCCATTTCACGTGACGGTCCGTCCACGTCGGCAAAGGGGTTCACGCGAACCAACCCGATCTCAGATATTAATCAATTGAGTAGGAAATTAATAAAAATAAATAAAAGAAAAAGAAAATGGTCCGCTGTACCTGTTTGGAGACAGAATAGAATAGACAGAAAAAGAAAGGAAGAAAGAAAGAATGGGGGGTGAATTAGCAGCAACAGCAACAATGACAAAGAAGAAGAAAAAGAAGGGACGCCCTTCCCTCTTGGACATCCAAAAACGGTCCCTCAAACAACAACAATTAGACCAACGTAATCAACAACAACAACAACAACAACAACAAAACCCTAATTCTTTCAAATCTAACCGCCGATCTACTCGACAAAACCCTAATTCCAATTACAATGACGTCGACGACGACGATGAGCGCAAAGAGAAGAAGCACAAGTTATTACTCGGCTTGGACAATTCTTCTAACCATCAGCAACAACACTATCCGATTTCTTCGCCCGATTTTTCCGGTCCTAATTCGATTCTTGACGGCAAGCGTCGCAAGATCAACTCCATCCATACCGGATCTGATCAAACGGTGATCATCATTTCCTGTATTATTAATTAATTTTGGCGGTTTTGTTGATCGACTTTTAAAAAATTCTTTCAACTAAATAAAAATTTAAATACTTTTGGGATTTCGCGCGAAAATTAAAGTTTATGGTTGGTTGGATCGGAAGTGAATGGACGTGTTTGACTTAGTCAGGCTTTTCTTTTACTCTTTTCTGCATACAATATTAATTAATTAACTTTTTATTTTTATTTTTTGGGGAAATGTTTTGAGTGGTAGTTGGTTTCTTTATTTCGTAAATTTATTTTAAAATTTTGCAGTACTATTATTTTATACTGGAAGTTTGTAGTTAATCGTCCCAAAATAATAGACGCACAGACCCTCTTGTCTGGAAAGCTTAAATTTTGTCTTTTTCTTTATTAATAATAATTATTACTTATTTTTTCTTTGCTTGTTGTACACCTTTTTACTGTAACTTTCGATATTTGATGCTTCAAAGGTTTTAGTGTTTTTTTTTTTTTTTTTTTTTAAATTTATAATTTATATATTTAATATGGAAGTAATTTCCTTGCAGGAAGAAAAGGTTTTGAAAGCGACGGACACTCTTCGTGGTATCTATTAATATCGATATTGTTGGAATTCAAAAAATAATAAGTTTAGACTGAATTATGCAATTTTTTTATGTGGACAGGGTCACCGGTGGACTCCGGTCCCACGACGCCTTTGCCAGACAAAAAGTTGTTGGTGTTCGTTCTTGACAGGCTTCAAAAGTGTGTTGTTTTAGCTGCTATGAATTTCTTTCGTTCTTTCAATACTATTATGTTATGCTTTTCTAATTGGGTTTTGATTGGTTTGTGTGTAACTTCTTTCAGGAAGGACACTTACGGGGTGTTTTCTGAGCCAGTGGATTCAGAAGAGGTGCATTTTTTTTTTTTTTTGTAAAGAAATGTTGCTTCTTTATACATGTATGCAATGATTGAATTAAAAGTTTCATGATTTGATGAAAATTTCCTTGTTTTGATGCAGCTTCCTGATTACCATGAGATTATTGCTCATCCAATGGATTTCGCTACTTTGAGGAAGAAACTAGATGGAGGGTCTTATACCAACTTGGAGCAATTTGAGGTTGGTTTAATACGTCTATTATTTGATAATTTTGGATATACGAGCTAAATTTCTTGGACTAGAGTTTGCTTGAATCAACCTTTGTCGATTTTTGCACCCAATGACCAGCCGGATGGCAGTTCAGTTTTTTGTTAAATTATGGGGATTGTATCTAGTGGATTTGATGATTCCGTGCTCCATTACTTAGATTTTGAACTTCAAAAACTCTGTTTGCGTTGGATTTGAGCGTGGTACCGTGTAGAGAATAAATTGGGATTCTTGAATATTATTATTATCTAACTCATATTGGTTACGTAAGGTTCTTCTTGTCTAGTATTGAAGTTTTTTATAATGAGTTGCTGATTTGACTGGTCACCATTTGTGACCCTGTGTGGACCACTCATCATTTTCGAGCCTGTCTCCTACCATATATTTTACAGATTCTGCAATTAAAGCCTATATTTTTCTTTCTTCAAGACTAACTGAAGGATAGTCGTTTGGATACAAGTAAATCAACCTAAGACCACTAGGACCAATGATTGCACAAGAATGGATGGATAATTTGATTTGGATTAAGAATCTTATGAGAATAAGGAGAGTGAATTGAGTGTGGACTAGGCAATTAGGAATACTTGATTAGCTTTGAAGTTCTGTAATTATGTTTGACCCCGTTGGTTCTCAGCCACATTCTTGATGTAAGAGTGATGTATGTCAACGGTGGTAGCTTGTGTTTTGTTCTCCACTTATAGATGTCTTATTTTTTACTATTTGGATAGCCTTAAGACCATCCTTTGAACTATTATCTAGTATACGCATGTGGAGTCCTTTGAGTTTCTAGATTATCTTGGCTAAATAAGCTTCAGCAGTTCAATTAAGAATGCATAATTGTTAATATGCATCGTAGTGCGGCCATTATCTAATGATTTGTCCATGGTGATTGATAGAGACTTATTTATGATCTTTGGTTTAATGTCATTACGCTGGGTCCATTCCAAAAATGGTGTAATGCAGAATCAAGAGTCAATCTTGCTTATGACTTAAATATGAACCATTATTATGACTCCTTAATAGTTAAGAGTGTGTGGTTGTCATATAAACCATTTGTAATTTGAAATTGAGACCAGTCTCTGTTGTTCCGCAGCATTCATGAGGGAATTTAGTTTCCACTAATCTTGCTTTTCTTTCTGGTGAAAATGTTTGATGTTGATCTATGAGTAACTTGACACTTTTGGCTATCATTTTCTTTGTGCAGAAAGACGTTTTTCTCATTTGTTCCAATGCAATGCAATATAATTCACCAGATACGATTTACTTCAGACAGGTTTAATCTGGTTTCAGATCGTTATGTGTTTTCTTAGGGTTCTCTTTCTTGTGTTTTCTTTTTTTTGTGACAGTTGAAAATGTTTCTGTAGGCACGAACCATTCAAGAGATGGCAAAAAAGGACTTCGAAAATTTGAGGCAAGATAGTGATAGTGAACCACAACCTCAACCAAAAGTTGTGAGGAGAGGCAGGCCACCAAAGAGCTTGAAAAAGTCACTTGACACCTCTCCTTCTGATCGTGCTGCTTGTGAGGTTTCCTCTGATGCAACCCTTGCTAATGGAGGAGATAATGGCAACTGGTCTAGTGCTCACAATCTAAGAAAAGGACCAATGCCATCATTCAAGTTTCGGACTGCTGATGCATTAAACAGGGCCTCTTATGGCTCTCATTCTCTTGCTGGTGAAACTTATACTAGCTGGTTATCGGAATGGGAGAATGAATTTCCAGGTTTGTGGTTTGAGTGGACTCTGACCTACTGCTTCATGTTCAGGGCCTATTATGACTCTCACCCTTTTTTCCTATGTATATTGAGTCTCCTTTTTCTTTTCTTGATCTATTTGCAGCTTCTGTTGTGAAGGCTGTGTTGAAGTATGGGAAAAAACAATCTACGTTAGATGAGAATAAACGCGACACCTATGAGGACTCGTTGTCTTCTGGGCATGAGCCATCTGTTTTCACAACCTTTGAGGGAGAATTGAAGCAACTAATGGTGGTATGTGTTATTCAAGTTCTTTTCATTCTTTGTTTTAATTATTATTTATTTTTTTCAAATTGGTAAGCTGTTGCCACTCAACAATGTTATGACCTATGGTTGAGATATTTTTTTCCCCTTTCTTATTTTTCGTGATCTAGAGGATAGAGATTCGGAGTTAAATTTCCATCAGAATAAATATTATGAAATTTGAAACAGATATCACAGATTTTTGCTTCTGGCTGAATGATTGATTCCTTTATTTTTATGGAACTGGTAATAACTTGTATGTTATATTGTAATAGATGATAGATGCATTAAATAACCTAGAGGAAATCAACCAATCCAGATGGTCACATATCTGCCTGTTAATAATATTGTAGCAGGTGTTCCTAAGTCCATGTAGAGGTTTGCTTGTTGGTAATCTTATCTATTTATTGATTCATTTAATTAGGTTGGTCTAAACTCTGAGCATGGTTATGCTAGAAGCTTGGCTCGATTTGCCGCAGATCTTGGACCAGTTGTTTGGAAAATTGCTTCAAAGAAAATTGAAAGTGTTTTGCCTGTTGGGGTCAAGGTAAGTCCTGGATGGGTAGGAGAAAACAAGGTTAATGAGCAGCAGCAGAACTTATTTGCTGAAAAACAGAAATCGTCAAATAATTATATGTATGGTGACCGTTCAAGCAGACTTCTATCTCCGACCACTTCTGGGTCAAACTCTGCTATCGGAAACAGATATTCTATGCAAGTTGGGGAAGATATGGAAAATAACAGAGAAGTTAACTCCCAAAATGAGCCAATGTTTCTGGGTAATACTCTTGGTGGGTTAAAACCTGCATCTCGTTTTCAGTCTCAGTCAAGACCTGTAATCCATTCTGGTATGAATGGTTTTAGTGGTACTGGTGGTTTTGGATTTAACTCTTCGCCTCAAGTGGGGACAGCAGGGCTTGGCACAGAACCTGGAAAGTCCAGGTTTGACAATAGTTCAGTGCCTTCTGGAATGCTTGGCGTGGTTCGAAATGGCACCCATCCCATTTACTCAATGCCCACAAATGATCATGATTCAAACCTTTCAAACGTGGCAGATTGCTCAAGTATTCGACACTCGGAAGATTCCTTGGTCCTAGGCTTTGGCTCTAGGTCACATACAGCAGTGGATCTGGGGCTACAGGGGGAGTCATCTTGGCAGGAATTGTCAACATTTAATAAACAGGTGTTTCATCCATTTCCACCTGACCTGAATGTTAGATTCCTTGCGCCGGGGTCACCTATTTCGAATATCCAGATTAGCTCACAACAGCAGCCTGATTTGGCATTACAGCTCTGATTATGAAATAAAAAAAAAAAAAAAAAAAACGACATTTCCCTTCAATTCAACTTGGGGTATTGGAAGGTTAGGTTTTCCTTAAAGTTTAATCTTTTGCCCAAATAGGAATAGCATTGTGGCAGGCAGGCCATGTTTCCCATATCTTTGATTTTCGTGACTCCGAAGAGTTGCCACATCGGAGAGTGTAGGGAAATATTTTGTACAGATTAATATATCCATTTTTTTACCTGGTGGAATTCACAGTTTAATATGTAAGTGTAACACAAATTCTTTACATTGGGATATTTTCAAATGTTTTATTAAAATGGCTAAATACATGGATATGGAATAGGAAATAAACCAAAATTCGAGTTAGCTGTTCTATATTATATCTTTACTAATTTGACAATGGGAAGGTTAAAAGAAGTAAGATAATGGGTTTGTTGATTCTGCTCACATGGCCTGCATTTTGGTTAATGATCCTCTTTCCTCTTGTGGAAATATGGTCCTATGATCTTTTTATTGTAAATGCACTCCCCTATACAATTGCTGCATTTATCATTCAAAATAATATGGACAAACGTGGAAGAGTAATATTACACCGATAATCTCTTTTCACAAACATTTTTTCACAATTTTGACGTGACAGTTTATAATTAGTCAAATTTATCATGTGAGACTTAGGTTAAACTCATTGCGAACTGATTAATTATAAGCTGTTATGTCGAATTTGAAAGAAGAGATTATGGTTGTAGTATTTTCCAACGTGGAAAGCTTGACTGGCTTTGTATTCGCCACGTTTTCTGGGATGTCGTTTGGATTTGTTACAGGAATTTTTCCTTGCCAGCAACATGGGAGCCTAAGTAGGACCTCCTCCTTTACTTTTATAAAAATTTCACCCTAAGGTTAAGAGTTTTGATTTGATGCCTCTTATTACATCTTAATCTTATATACTCAATTGCTTATGCAGTTACAGTCGTAGCCTGTTTGATGAGATTATACTTGCTTTCACTTCGGTATAATCTTATGCTTTTCAAGTGAAAAAAAGATTCAGTAATGTAATATAATAATTGAAGAACGCTCAATATCAAAAAGAATAATATTCCTTTCTCTATTTCTCAACTACACCAAAACAATTATAAAAAAAATAAAAAAATAAAAAAAAAACCCAACACATTACATGGTTCTGTATATTTCTCTTCCCTGCGTTTGTATGTACCCACCAAATCTACACACCCAACTCAACCACAAACCTAATAATGGAACAGTTTAATTGCCTAACTCTATGTCATCACTTAATCAATCATCTTTCCCAAGCCATTTTCAACCCTTTTGCTGTTTGACTCCCGAACCATCTTTGGTTCAACAACTTCAACCGATCATCTTTCACGTCACAGAACATCTGGCTCCACCCTTTTGGCTCAACCGGCTCCACCCCTAATCCCGGCGTTCGGTCCTTTGACCGCAGATTCACAGTGTCTTTCCAATCCACAACATAAGCCGAAACCCTTCTTCGGAACTTGCTCTTGAACTCTGACCATGCTTGGTACTTGTAATGGTTCACCACTGCTAATCCCGTATCCATTTGCTTCCATTTAAACATCTTCTTCAACCCGAAATGGTGAATCACATTATTCAATGAATCATCAATTGCATCTAACAAAACAATAGACTTGTGCCGTTGCTGTTCAACTCTTCTGTAACAATTATACCCTTGCGTTACTCCTTCCACGGGGTGTGAAGTTTGACCCGACGGACCAAAATCATTGCACCTGAACGAAACTTGACCGATCGATGGTTTTTTCGGTAACAAAGATTTCAACAGATGATCTGACGGTTGTGACTCTTTGTCCCACGACGGAGAAAAGAGGAACTCGTCTACATCGAAGTACATCATCCATTTGCAAGAATCCTTAGCGTATAATGCATTGTGAGAGAAGCCAGCTTCTTGAGTCTTCGGCCAAAGCCATAAAAATGTCGTCACGTTGTAACCTTCATCATTAAGTTCCTTAACAACACTTTCTAAATTGTCGTCGCTCTCATTGTCGTATAATATAAACTTTTCCACTCCGATTCTTGAATGATACATCACCCATTCTTTTAAGTACTTGCCCACGTTGTACACCATCGTAGATGCGCACAATAGCGACTTCTTCTCAGAGGTATCCGCTATCTTGCGCCGGGGCGTGTAGTACGCCACGGAAGGCACGATCAGATTGTCATTCGTGATTTCTATGGAGACTTTGATTGGCTTGTTAGAAGTAAACGCCGTTAAGTCCGGTTGAGCACACCTGAAGACCTCTTGTGATGAGCTGGTTACGGGAGTTCTAACGGCGGTTTCAGCATCATTATCATCACCAAATACGCACTTTAACTCTTGAGGAGGTCTGCTGAATCCTTGATGTCTGTTCACGCCTTTAGCGAACAAAGCGACGTCGTTCTCCGTTGAAAGCGCCTCGTACACGTAGAAGTTGGTTCTGATGAGCTCCTTGGCGGAGGCTTCTCTAATGAGAGATTCTTCTTCTTTCTCTGGATGTTTCGTCAAAACCGGTTGAAAGAACGGCCGTTGACGGCGAAATCTTTTTGGCATATTACATTTAAACGTCGTGAGATTCGTAAACGGCAAAACCCCCGAAAATCTAGCCTTAGAAATTTCTTTGGTTGAAAAAAAACAATACAAACCGTCCACAGAATCGGACAGTGTCTCGGGCGAGACGATTGCAAGAACCTCCCAATCCGGAAAAAGAACGGAAGCGGACTTCAATTTATCAGAATCTTGAATGGAGGACACGTGACGAGTGTGTCGAGAGACCTTATTCACTTGTTCCCTTAAAACGTTATTGGAAAAGTTGGCACTTGAGTTGTCTGGTGATGGCACGGAGATGTTTGCGGGAAGGAAGGCGAAGTCGGGTGGCGAGATTACAGTGCGGGACACGAAATAAGAAAAGAAGAAAGTGAAGAAAAGAAGCGAAAGAAAGACGAATAAGAGGTTTGTTTTGCAGCTCTTGCGAAGGAGAGTTTCAGGTAAATAATCGAACAATTTTCTTTGTTCAAGTACACAAAGAACAGAGGTTGACGACGACGATTTCTTTACAGAAGCCATTGTCTATTTGTTTGTTTGTATGTGTGCAGAAACTGAAGGAGAGAGCAAAGGTTTATATGAGAGTTTTGAGAAAGGAATATGAATCCTGATTACAGAATGATTAAGAGGTTTCCTAGAAGAGGGATTGGGCTGGGCGCCTTCTATAACAAGTATTTGTATCCTGTCTGACGTCTGTTTGTTGCCACATGTAAACCTGAATATATAGGGTTTAAAATCTAATGGAATTCAACTCGTATTAGAAACGGTGAACTGTATATATCCAGGATTTTAGCGTATTTTCTCCTAATCATAAATATATATTAATGTTGTGCTGTTAATCCCGAGAGGATAATTCCTTATTAGGGAAGAAGATATTTAGATTGACTCAATTTAGAAGGAAGATATTCAGATTGACTTAGATTCCAATTAAGGTAGTTGAAGATCATGCAACTTTCTAATCCTACGTATTTGAATCTTATCTTAACTTTATCATGTAAATGGGTGCTATATAAAATCACAACTTGTTTTCAGGGGCTAGGCAATTGTTCTAAGCAAATTTTCTTAGGAATTATACTGTTCTTTATAAGCTCTAAAAAACAATAAGATAACACTGGACGTAGGCTCAAGTTTTAACTTGTTGAACCACTATAAAAATCTCTCTGTCATTTACTTTATTGTATTTATTATTCATCCACTGTTGGTTATCCGTAATCACGCGTACAACCATTCCGGTTCTGATAGGGTCAATCGAAATTCTTTGGTTGGTGCAGATTTATGTATCAACATTTTGGCGTTAGAAGGAGGGTCTGATTCACAACAACTCTCCATGTTTTTCCCTCAAGCCTCAACTTCTTCAACAAATCCCAGCTTCTTAATCTATAATCACGTCATCAAATGTGAAAATCTGAGTAGGATAAATCTGAATCTGGCTAAGTGGTAAACACAAGAATTATAGCCCTTCGAGTTAGCTTTCCAACGGTCCAAGAATCATCCAAATATGAGGTCTACAGCTTAAGTTATTGTCAAAATACTTAAGCTTATTCCAAATCAGAGTTCTCAGATTACGTGGCCAGATCGCTCATATTGCGCGCTTAGATCACTCTGATCTTTAACTTCAGATCGCGTGCTCAAATCTCTCATATTAGAAAGAGCCCGCTAGCTCTCCAAGCTTTTTGATTGAGAAATGCTCTCAGATTAAGCTCTTAAAGCTTTTTGATCGAGAGTGCTCTCAAGTCAAGCTCTCCATGCTTTCTGATCGAGCTATGCTCTCAGATCAAACTCTCCAAGCTTTCTGATTGAGCAATGCTCTCAGATCAAACTCTTCATGCTTTCTGATCGAGCTATGCTCTTAGATCAAGCTCTCTACGCTTTCTGATCGAGCTATGTTCTTAGATCAAGCTCTCTACGCTTTCTGATCGAGCAATGCTCTCAGATCAAGCTCTCCATGCTTTATGATCGAACTATGATGTCAGATCAAGCTCTTCATGGTTTCTGATCGAGCTATACTCTCAGATCAAACTCTCCATGCTTTCTGATCGAGCAATGCTCTCAGATCAAGTTCTCCATGCTTTCTAATCGAGCTATGCTCTCAGATTAAGCTCTTCATACTTTCAAATTTAGCTATGCTCTCAGATCAAGCTCTCCACGCTTTATAATTGAACTCTTCGCACTTTTAGATCGACCTTTTTATGCTCTCAGATTGAGCTCTTTATGTTCTCAGATCGAGCTCTTTATGCTCCCTGATTAAGCTCATAAGCTCGCTCATTTGCTTGAGATCACGTGTTTAAGATCTCTCATATCTCTTAGATCGCGTCAGGCGTAACGCAACTTCTTCAATTCGAGACTGCGGCCTATAGTGCGACAACCATCCAGATCAAAGACATGATGAGTTTTTGAAGTGCGATTACGCACTTCAAAAACTTGGGGTCTATTGTTGTGCAGTCAATCCGGAGAGGATAATTCCCTATTAGGAGAGAAGATATTTAGATTGGCTCAATTTGGAAGGAAGATATTCAGATTGACTTAGATTTCAACTAAGGTAGCCGAAGTTCATGCAACTTCCTAATTCTACGTATTTGAATGTTATCTCAACTCTATCATGTAAATGGGTGCTATATAAAATCACAACTTGTTTTTGAGGGCTGGGCAATTGTTCTAAGCAAATTTTCCTATGAATTATACTGTTCTTTGTAAGCTCAAAAAAACAATAAGATAATAGTGGAGGTAGACTCAAGTTCTAACTTGCCGAACCACTTTAAAAATCTCTCTGTCATTTATTATTCATCCATTGCTGGTTATCTGTAATCACGCCCATATCCATTCTAGTTCTGACAGAATCAATCGGAATTCTCTGGTTGGTGCAGATTTATGTATCAATAATTAAATATGAAATATTCATATTTATGCCTTAATACATTCATACAACAACTCTTTATTTAACAGAAGAAACCCCTCAAATGAATGATCAGTTACAATAATTCCTTTTTTTTTTTAAACTGATTTTAACCAGATTTGATCTATTATAAAAATGTAATACCTATCTTGCTCTTACTATATTGTTGCGTTTGCTTTACTATATATATATATGTTAATTTATAATCTGTATAATTGGAAATAATATATGAACTCAGCATCATCACCACCACAACGCAATTTCACAACTTAATTATGTAACCATTTATCATTAAGGAGTTTCCATCACCAAGAAGCATTGATGGTTTCTGATATTTTAGGGTTTATAGATTCTTTTAGTGGAATAGCGACGGTCAGTCTTCTCTTCTGCTACAAGTTTTATGCCTTTTTCACTCTAAATTCTTGCTTGTTACTGGTTGATTGTATAAAGAGACAAACATAAAAAGACCAATTATCAACTCTTAAAGACTTTTAAGTCAATGAAAAAAGACTTAATTGGGTGATTCGAAGTGTTGGAGTTGGAAAAGTTTTGATGAATTAATTCCTGCACTACAATCAAGCGAGAAGAAGGGAAGCCGGAGGTTGTGGCTTTACAGCTAACGAGCATAAGGCGTGTTCTTTAATTGTACCCAAAGTTTCATTCTTCATGCAACTTTATGATGTGTTGACTCCATTGGATTATTATGGATATTCTTTAATTGTTTCAAAAGTTAATAATTTTATATTCCTTGGTAATAAAGTTAAGACTTCAAAGTCCATGTGTTAGTCGATTGAGCAAGGCACCCATTCGTTAAGGAACTCCTCCACTACGTACAACTGGAATCATGCAAGAGAAGATATCATAATCATACAACTAGTGTAAGTTTGAAGACATATATAAATGGAAAAGAGAGGCTACTATTTGTTGAATATTTTATAACGTGTTGATCACTACAAAGGATCTCTTTATGCATGAAAACTCATCTATTGAATCTTTTATATATATATATATATAAATGACAAACTCAATCATCCAAATCTGCTCAATAATAACTCTTTAACATATCCTAGATGATGGTGAAGAAGAAACATGTAATATATGATATGGAGTGGAGATTTTTGTTTGACATGATGGACCAATCTCTTGGGCTCATTTGATTTATAAGTTTCATTAAAGTTAGATTAACACTAGTTAACTAAGTAATGATCTGACATTTGAAAGCGATTTACATGATAGGTATCCCATGAATGCGAGATCGGGTGTAGTTGGTTCAATTAACCCAGCCAGCCCAAATGGTAAAAAATAGTATAAAGATGTTGGACTTAGGGCCCAGACTGATGTGTAAGATAAGAATGTACATTTCTATTGTTAATAATAAAAGAAAAAAGTAAGCGACTTTTTCTCACTCAAGGTTTGACCTAATGACATTTCCTATCCGAAAAGTTTCAAAATATACACAGCACATATCTGTTAGTAAATTCCGTTGTGAAGAAGGATAGAATGGTCAAAAGCTTGTTATAAGTAAGGATATAATGGTCAATTAATATTATGCATAAAAAATCCCTCCCTTACCCACTATCGCCACCTCTCTCTCTCAATCATCCATCTCTCCATGATTCGTTAGGCTTGAAGAGAGGTGGTGTCACGGTCACTATCCCTAACCCGCATAAGAACCCTCGGCATCCCACCATCAAAACTCCACCCCTGACTGCACTCGCCGATCACCACCCATAGCTGCCACGTCAGGTAGGGATGGGCACGGGGCAGGGCGGGGCCGGGGACTGTCTCCGACCCCGGCTCGAGAGGATTCCCTAATCCCAGCTCGAAGCCCGTTTAAGGAATCCCCGAAAAAAGCCTGTTTCCCAAAATTCCCCGAATTCCTCGTTTGGGGTTTTTTTTTTTCCCTTAATTTATACTTTTATTATTATTTTCTCCCAATTATATATACCAACCAAAAAAGAAATTAAATATATAATATACATATTAAACGTAAAGACCATATCATCAAAAAAAAAAAATTAAATCTATAATGTACATATTAAATATAAAAACCATCATATTAAAGTAACACAATTATAATTTGTTATTGTATAATGTATAATTGATTTTCAAATAGTAAAATTACTATAGGTATATATGATTGATTTTGATTTTCAATTATTAAAATTAATATATATAATATACATATACGGGTCGGGGCAAAGCCAATCCCAGCCCGTCCCTGAATTTCGGCGGGCAATTTTGGGCCCGAATCCCAAAAAATTCGGGGAAAATTCACCCCGTTCGGGGTGGGTCCCCGCAGGGCCGGCTAGTGCCCATCCGTAACGTCAGGCGACTATCCTTTGCGAGATTATGACTGATTCTAGCGGTGACACCCCTCCCTCACCAAAAAAAAAAAAAAAAAAAACACAACCACCCCCTAACTCACCGACATTTCCTCTACAAAACCCCCATTCTCCTCGCCACGGTAGCCCACTGTTCGCTACCCCCCACTCTACCTAGGGTTTTTTACATTTTGTTGAAATTGGTTGTTGAAAGGATGGTTGTTTGTAGGGGTGAAATCGAGTCAAGTATCTAGGTACTCGAACTCAACTCGGTTGCTATAGTACCGAGTTTGAGTCTGGTTGAGCCTGATGAATCAAGTTCAAACTAGAACTCGGTATCTAAAATTCGAATTCGAGTTCAAATTCCAACTTGGTTAATCAAGTTTTAGTCAAGTTTTTCAAGATTAATCGAGTTTTTCGAATTTTTTGTACAATGATTGAACTCTACTCATGGGATTATTCGAGCTACTCGAACTTGAACTCGACTCGACTAATGACGAGTTGAATTCGAGCCAAGACTAAGCTGAGCTCGAGCCACTCACGAGCGGATTTGCTCGATTTTCACCCTTGGTTGTTTGATGAAATTGAAGCTTGGGTTTTGTTTGATTGATTATTTGGAGTGTTTTTGTTCTTCATTTTGGTCGAAAAACCCAACCAATCACCGACGTTCACTTCTTTGCCATCCACTGCTTTGTTAGGGTTTTGCTTGTTTGTTGAATTTGACTTTGATTGGAGATTGATTTGGAATTGTTTTTGGCAGGAGAATGGGTTATTGGAAGTGTTTTTGTGTTTATGGGTTAATTGCAAGTTTTCCAACCACTCTTCCCATTCAATTACTTTCAACCCCAAGTCTTCAAATTTTGCAAAACCCTAGGTGGTGGAGAGTTGTGAATGGCGTGCATTTGGCATCGGGAAGGTTAGGGGTTTTTGAGATGGGAATCTCAGTGAGTTGATTGGTGGGCTCAAGATAGATTTGCAATGCCAAAAGCGGCTAGAAAAGGGCAAGAATCGTGCAAACTAATTGTGTGCGATGGTTGGCGAATGGAGGGGTTAGACAGGCAAGAGTGTAAGGGTTTTGGTGAGGGAGTGATAGGAAATATTTTGGTGGTGGTGGGTGGCTCAACGACATTAGATTCATGTCAAAATGGCCTTAAAACGACGGCCTTATGGTGAGCATGGGTCACAAGAAACAGACACATTTTTGGCCAAAATTGGCTAGCAATCGGTGTCAATTGGGGTGTTTTGAGAGAAAGGGTATTTCCATCTTCATCATAAAAATCACTATTTAATAAAAATTATTAATGAAATATAACATTTAAGTAATAAAGTTATATTTTAAAACTTTTTGAATGGAAAATGTTATTAGATCAAAGCTTGGGTGAGAAAAAGTCGTTTGCTCAAAAAGAAAAAAACACTAGTACTTTTGATCATAACGATTACACTTTGCGGGGATTGGTCCCAGCCAAAAAAAGAATCTCATAATCAACATCAACTTTATACAATGGGCCATTCATGTCCAGTTAATTAACAAAGTAATCACAAAAAGTTATGGACTATACTTTAAATAACAAAAATAATAATAATTTAATGTAAACCATAATCTCCACCGTATATCTATCTTGTGAGTAAGTACTTAGATATACATAACCATAAATAACACCTTATTAAATATTTCCAATAAGATATGATAAAAATTTCCAATTATGATAAATTATACATTTATGGAATTAATACACATTTTTTTAACTAACTTAGGTATTCGGGTATAATTACCAATCAAGCATGTCTAATTCTAAGGGCTACAAAACACCTTACAAATCCAATGAATTAAGGTAATTATATAATTATGGTAGGTATATCCCTTTTAAATATAGTTAACCACGGTGTGAGTAAATAACTTACCATCCTGTCTCAAAGGCAGGTAATTTATGCAGATTTTGTCTCTTTGGGTTACTAATTAAGAGTAATGCTATATTCACAATTCAATCCTACAACTTTTTTTCATAATTCTTAATAAAGTAACACTACAGTTACCGAAGGATGCGCACCGAATGATGTGGTAAAATCCTAATCGTCGATTAATTATGAATTAATATTGATCGACGATTAGAATTATGTCACGTTATTTAGTATACAAATTCAGTATGTATTTTACGATAACTGTTTTATTTTTCTTCTTAATATGATAATTTATCATTGATCAACTCGTATAATAGATTTTTTCTACTTGTATGGGTTCTATCTACTTATTTACGAGCTACTAAATAACGCTACCGTGTCGGAATTGCGAGAGAAACCGTAGATCCGAAATTATTGTAGCGATTAATTTCTTGGCTCAACTTTAAGTTACAGCTTGCATAATAAAAGATAGTCAATCCAACAGTTACATCAATTCACATTGTCCACATTTTTGAAGACTTTTTAACCATATAATATAATAAAAGAAATATATATTCAGAAACTTACATCATTTTACCAAGAAAGCAGGGATGGTTGGATGGTGGGTCCCGGGGTTTTTGACAAACTCAACTCATCACGCGGCGGCGTCACTTAAACTTAACTCAACAGTGTCAAACACGGGCAAATACGGAGAAATACCGAGGGTAAAAAAGGGAATCTAAGTCCAAACGAACCGAAAGGTTTAAATGCGGAAACAAAGAAATAGTAATAAGAAAGGTGAGAGAAAGGATGGAGAGCGACCTGCAACAAAATAATCATGCACAAACATTAATGCAGCGAAAAATAAATTAAGTTAAAAGATAAAAAAAGAAAAAAAGAAAAAAAAAGAGGCCCACTTGAGAAAGCCTTAATTACTTGAGATTGAGAGGAGTTGAAGAAGGTTAGTTCCCGCTAAATGTGGCGCTTAATTTGTTTAGTGTTATTGTAAACTCTCACTGTCTGTCACTCAACGAAACACAAGATAAAGATATTACATGTTTGTTTCGTTTATACCCTTTCGCGTGATTATTTTATTTTTTTATTCTCTCATTTGCCCCCTTTTCTCAACGAATTCCACCGCAGATAACCTTCAACTTCGTTGTTGTTGTGAGCTGTTCCTCACTTGTGTTGTGGGATTTTCTTTTGACTTTTTTTTTTTTTTTTAGTAATTTATGTGTAAATTTGTTTTTGGGGTGTTATCCATGGGTGGTAATTATTACTTGTGTTGTTGTTGTTGTTATTATTTGTGGTGGGGTTATAATATGGAAAACAATTCTCTTCTTCAATGGAATCTCAAGACTTGAAGAGGAATACAATTTTTTTTCCTTATACTTATTTTTTGGGGTTTTCGTAAGATTTGATTCGGGATATCTTCATGCTTCTGAGGAGGGATTCGTCTTTCCTTATCAACGGTTAGGGTTTTACAGTTAATTTTAGGAAAATCAATAATATGAAACGGAATTTTCCTAATTTCATTATCGTCATTTGTGTATTAATTTACTGATGAATAGGAAATTTGAGTGAGTGTAATATGAGTGGTTCTGTTTTGTTGTTTGCTTGAATGTGTTTATTATACACATAGCAATTTGCAACTGCTGTGTCTTTTGATAAAGAGATGAGTTGCTTTTGTTGTTTAAGTCGAAAGACACAAGACATCAAAGTCGATATTGATAATGGTACTCGATCCACTTCTCACCATTCTTCTGTATCTTCAGGTATTTCTCATAATTTCAGTTGTTAGGTCTTTTTTGGGTTTGTTTATATTAGAGGGGTGTTAACAATGAGTGTTTTGGGTGCAGAAAATGGGAGAGTTAATTATAAGGAAAATGGCGCAAAAAGAGCAGGTGGGGCGCGTAGTTTCACATTCCGTGAACTAGCAACAGCAACGAAGAACTTTAGAGATGTGAATTTGATTGGGGAAGGAGGTTTTGGAAAAGTTTACAAGGGGCGCTTGGAATCAGGCCAGGCAAGTTAGCTGCTCTAAAATTTTTGGTGGTTTTTTTTAGCAAAGTGACTATGTTCACACCGTTAATCTAATAGTCTTTATGGAGAGCAGAATATATAGATTTTATATTGTGAGTTAAGTTTGATTCGATTTGGTTACTGTGACCAGATTGTTGCGGTCAAACAACTTGATCACGAGGGTGTTCAGGGGCATCAAGAATTCATTGTGGAGGTTCTCATGCTCAGTCTGTTACACCATGCTAATCTTGTTACCTTAATTGGCTACTGCACTGCTGGAGATCAGAGACTATTGGTTTATGAGTATATGCCAATGGGTAGTTTGGAAGATCATCTTTATGGTAATTTCTTTTTTTTAAAGTATCGAACTCTGTTAATTGTTTACTATTATAATCTTTGTTTTGTTGTTTGTCTTTCTCATTCATGTTTTGTGGAACATTATGGTTTATTTCTGATCTGTTTGTATACATAAGAACAAACTCTTTGAATTTTGTTGGAGCAGTGGCATGACATATTTGTTTACATAAATACTTTTTTCTTTAGATTGTACTAGTTCTTCTAGATTCTGCAGTATATGTTCCATGCGTTACTGTAGGTCTTTTACTTCATATCACACTCTGTATTAGATCTCCCTAATTCTCAGCCTTACTTGCTCGCAAACAGTGTTTAAGTTTTGTGTCACTTTATACTCTTTATGTGATTTAACTTTCATCGTTGATTCTTACCTTTTGAAGGATTGCTTGGGAGAATTTATTTTTGAACCATATTCAGAACCTTTACCTTCCGAATATATTAAGGGCTTCTTCATTGTTTCCATTTATCTTATATAACCTCTGTGGTATAATGATGAAATATATTGAAATTACTAACAAAGATGGAACATGGTTTAAGGATAATTTCAATACTTATTCTGTACAGATGTGGCAGGCGACCAAGAGCCGTTGAGTTGGAACACTCGCATGAAAATTGCTGTTGGTGCTGCTCGTGGCCTTGAGTATTTACATTGCAAGGCAGATCCTCCCGTCATTTACCGGGATTTGAAGGCCGCAAATATTTTGCTGGACAATGACTTCAACCCAAAACTCTCGGATTTTGGGCTTGCCAAATTGGGACCTGTTGGTGACAAAACGCATGTTTCAACTAGGGTGATGGGAACATATGGATACTGTGCCCCTGAGTATGCCATGAGTGGCAAATTGACTCTTAAATCTGATATTTATAGTTTTGGTGTTGTACTTTTGGAGTTAATCACTGGGCGGAAGGCAATAGATCTTAGTAAGGCGCGTGCGGAACAGAATCTAGTGGCTTGGGTGAGTTGACACTTTATTTGTTTTTTTCTTCGTTGAATTGATGGCTTGGCTATAGTTTAAGAAGGGTGCTTGTTTATCATCTTATACATGCGCCCACACTCTCTGGAAATCCTTTCTCTATTGGTTTTGCTGGGCTTTGTATGTGTCATCCTAGATTTTGTGCAGGGATGTCCAACTGTGTTGCTTTTTTATTATTATTTTTTAGTTTTGTGTGTGTGTGTGTGTGTGTGTGTACTGTTGTTAAATATTCATTTTCTACAACTTAAACTGTAATTTTTTTGGTTCCAAATACATCAATTTTGCATCAACTGTGAAAATCTTATCAGAAATTTGGCAATTATTGGACTTGGGTTTTTTTAATAAGTTGGTAGCTTGTATTTTATGTAGTGTTGCTTAAACCTAGTATAACAAGATACTAATGAAAAGAGTGAGTATCTGACAACAGTTAAATGACTCTTTTTGCTGCTTTACATGATTCATATCTTCTCCCTTTTCATTACAGTCTCGGCCATTGTTAAAAGACCAAAAGAAGTATTCCCATCTGGCTGATCCTCGGTTGCAAGGACGCTTCCCTCGCCGTTGTTTAAACTATGCAATTGCTATTACTGCTATGTGTCTAAACGAGGAAGCCACTTACCGCCCAATGATTACTGATATTGTTGTAGCACTTGATTATCTGGCCTCCCAGAGTGAGAATAACTCAGTATCCCGTAATGCTGGTGCCAACAGTGCCCCCTCATCAACGACTGAATTTTCTCGAGGTTCTTATTCTGGAAAGAGTACATTTGTTTGAATGTTTTTGGTTACGAGCTGCTACAACGATGTTATTGCTGTAAGTAATTAAGGCCATTTTTAGACGGTTATTTATAGTTTGATGTGTTCTGTTCTTCCGTTTGCATATCCTTTAACATCCTACCATTCCGTTGTCTTTCTTTATGTTTCTTTCATGGGAAATCTCTAACTGGTGCTCTTATTAATGTGTGACTGCAGATGGATCACCTTGTCAGAACTCTGAAGGAGACCCATAAAATACTGGAATTTGATATACAAATCTATATGCACCAAGAGAATGCATATAATATTATATGTGTACATGTATGTATATATTGATCAAGGTATGTAATAGTGGCATTTTTTCCTTTGAAACCATGACAAAGGTAATCTAAGCTGCTTGTGTTTGGTTGAAGTTGGAACTTATGGAAGGGGAAAAATGAAGTAGACAAACTGTGCTTATCCTAAGATGACGACACCCTTTGTAAGAAGAAATTATATCAAGATTTAGTAATACAATAGCGACCCACAAAATTAGATAAAATAGCATATAAAATAAAGTATTAATATTCTTTCTAGGTTTTATTATGTTTCAGTATGAAACCCTTCTGTTTTGATGCAATGGCTCTGTAGTTTCTGGGATTCTCTTTATGCCCATGTAATTAAATATTTTTATTCATACATTCTGTTGTTTTTAATTGTCATTTATCATGCTTTTATGTAGGGATAAGGTATCCTAAAACATTCTTGGGTTCATTGTATTCTTGTTTATATAAGACGAAGTGGGCATTATTGGGGCATCCGTGTGACAAATTCATGAGGTTTTGAATTCGAATCCCTTATTTTTATTGTTAATAGGAGTGATCACTAAAGTTTTTATTCGATCAATAATTTCAAGATCTTAAGAGATTAGTTGAGGTGCGTATGAACTAGTTCGGGCGTTTGATCATACAAATAATAATAAATAAATAATTGAAAGCCATTTGTCCAATGGTCAGCTGCCGACTAAACTAAATGAAAGTCTCTTCATTCACCATCTTTGAAGATTCTATGGAAAACATGCCATTTAAAATCTTTTCACTTGTGGCTCCTAATCGTCGACTTCTCTAAGTCTTGTTTTTTGTCTTTATCACCATGTAGATTCTGAATTTATAATTTTTAATCTAGTCAAGGTCATGCAATGGCCAATGGCTGAATCACTGGTTAATGGTAGGGAAGGTAATTAAGTTTTTTAATCAAGTTAAATTGGGAGTTTTGGGGCCGGCTTACCACTAATCTTTATTATAGTGGTCGAAAACCCAATTTCCCAGTCACCCAATGTGGCGCGACTTTTCATCACTATCATATTATTCAGTTCATCCTCTCTCACTGTCACTGCCATGGAATGGCTGATGAGGTGAAAAGTGGTTTGGTAAAAGTAAAAACGAACATGTTTACAAAGTCCTCAGGTCAATTAAATCTCCTGTGATTAGAAGACTTTCTAATTGTATACCCTTTATCCACCAAACACAGAAAAATTTTCTGTCACCACTTTGCCTTGCACTTCACTCATGTATTGACTGGCTATCCCCACATTAAGTCGTCATTATAATATCGATGGAGACACTCCTAATTAATTTAGTCTTGTCACTTAGAAATTCCATATTCTACTGTATAAGCTAAGGGAAATATATTCTAAAATAATTGACCGAGTCGTTGTTTTGCTGTTAGTGTGAATCCTTCTTCAGCCGTTTGAAAAAGTAGATTTTCTAAGGCCAAACCAAACCTTGATATTAGATGTGGAAAGCTATGCCGGTTACATTGAATACTAATTGCTTCCCATCATTGCACGAAACCAAAGTTTCTAAATTTAGTAGTAAAGCCTAAACTCTAAAGTACTCCACCTGAATCATGCATGCCTACTGTTTCCAGTTTTATAACTTCAGGACATTGTATCTGTCAGCTAAGTTTTGTTGAGATCCAAGGCCTGTGTGAACTTCCATTCAATATTTTAGTACAATATGTAGACTTACAGCCACCAATTGAATAGTATTGATGCGTGATTTTGACATAAACTAAACGCACGTATGAAATGTTGAGCTGGCCTAGAAGACACACGCGAATGGGGATAGTGAAATGAGTAATAGGTGGAGAAACTATGTTTTAAAGTGGTTCGGATGCTTAAGCAAGCGACTCTTACGTCCACTGATATTGTATTAATATGGAGGGAATGCGACCTGACTTACAAGCGATTACAAAAGAGAGAATAAGCTATTACAGAGAGAAATTAGCTATTACAGAGTAAAATGAGCCAATCCCCCAAATAGGAGAGGAGCTCTCTATTTATAGTAGGATGAATTGGAGTAATGATTACAGAATCCGTAAAAAGGGGATAGATATCATGCAAATCCTTCTTTGCGTCCCGTTGCTCATTTACTCGAGTGATTTCCTCGTTTAGTACAGGGGTTGGACACGTGGACGACCTCCAACCTTTCGTTAGTCTGGCGCGCACCCACTACATTGGCAGAAGCATGCTGCTCACGCCAGCATGCGACTTGGCTGCGTCTGAACGGCTATAGGATCTACCTATACTCTGACCATTTACACTGATCAGACCCTGCGTCAGCCCTACTTTTTCAAGCATAACAAATAGTATACACAATGAAATATCTCACTGCAAAGTATTAATGATTCAGCTCATAAATGTTTAAGAGAAAAAGGTTCATCTTGACTGGTCTCAATACATTTAGTACAAATATAAACGGATATTTCGATAGTGATAATCACTACCAAATTTTCTCTTTCATTTGCTAATAAATATCTCTCATACATGAAAAGACATCTTTATCGGTGCCGTCAAATTTCGTCGGAAAACACCATCTTTTCCAATGTTGATAGGCATCATAGAAATATCATGGCTTCGTTTGATTCACAATTGGGTGTTTTTGGGAAAAGTTTTCTGAAAAAAGTTAAAAAAAAGTTGAATTGGGCGGGTATTACGATGTAGGATTTATAAATTATTAAAATACCCCCTATATTTGTTTATTTACAAAACACCCCCTATAATAAAATCTTAAAAGTTAACAAAAACACCCCCAACCCAATGTCAAATACGGACAGCCGACCACTACCGCCGGAGGGTGGCCGGGTTCACCGTATTGGCGCATGACCGGCTGGATCTTTCCGGTCGTGCGTCGATATGGCTTTTGCCGGCCAGATCCACGGTGGATCTGGCCGACAAAGGCCAGATCTACGGCCAGATCTGGCCGTATTTTCTCGTCAATGACGACCAACAAACGGTCGTTGTTGATGGTCAACGACGACCGTTTGTTGGTCGTCGTTATAAACTGTTACAGCCAAAGATCTGGCCGTCAACGACCAGATCTTTGGCCTTTTTCGGCCAGATCCACCGTGGATCTGACCAGAAAAGGCTAGATCGGTGCACTACCGGCCAGATTCAGCCGGTAGTGCACCATCCTAACAGATTCCGGCCACTTTTCGGCAGTGGTGGCCGGAATCTGGTAAATATGAATTACTGGGGTGTTTTTGTAATTTTTAAAAAAATATTTAGGGGTATTTAATTAAATTATCAAATTTAAGGGGTTTAAAAAAAGTTGAATAATATTGGGAGTAGTATTCCCAAAAATCAAAATTTTTGGGTATTTTACTGTTTAACTTTTTTGGGAATACTAAAAGTAGTATTCCCAATTGGCAACCAAACGGAGCCATATCTTCTGATGAAATTTGTGCCTTTCAGAAGGTATATTAAGATATAATCAGATGATGTAGCGACTGTGCTTATGTACATATTGTTATGCCTAAAAAATCGTACTAATGTCAGCACTAACCAATCAGAGTTCATGAAGGCTTTGTACCATCCAGAAGCTATCACATTGTCTCAAGACAATAGGGATACGACTGTCTATGAGTGGATGAGGATCGCATATCTATCGCAACTTTATCAAAATAAAGTTGATAAGGATTAAGGAGTGGTTCTCACGTGTCAGGGCAACTTGTAAAAGCATTCATTACATTGACCTAAAAGGTGTATAAATGAACATTTCTCTTCACGAAAAGAGGGGTTGGGCATATGAGAGCTAAGCATAAATTTGAGCTTCATTATTTCTCTCTGTAAGCAAAGTATTTCTTCATCTTTGTATGTCTTACGAGTAATATCATAAAAATAGTCAGAGAATAATAAAATAACAGTGGATGTAGGAGTTGCTTTAAGCATCCGAACCACTATAAAAACATCTCTTGTCAGTCTATGATTTATGTTTCTGCAACATATATAATCTTAACACCATATTTAAATCTCATGGATCCATCATATATAATTTCTAAGACTCTTTTAGCACTTTACATATACGAGTTGTTAATGTCCAAAATCAAGTAACAAAGCAATTGGTATAGGGATAGTTTGGGTTAGTGATAGGATTTTAATTGCCAGTAACGCGTAATATCTTGTGCGTAGTGTCTCCCACGACACAGACGTTAATTATCATTCTTTGAAAGAAAGAAAACAAGTCTCTGCAATATCTTCATTTATATGATGATTAATTATCATTCTGTAAAAGAAGTTCCCTATCCATTTATGTGATCATCAATTCATCATCTCAATATAATTACTCTAAGAAAGCTATTTATTGGGAAGACAGAAGAGAAAGAGAAAATAATAAAAGGAAAGCGTTTACTGGCTGATCAAGTCGTAAAATTTTGGAGTTAATGACTTTATTCCACCCAAATAATAGCTTAACGATACATTTTAACCTATAGACTTTTAAAATACTATTTTATTATCCGAATTTATATTCTAACAGTGAACAGAGAGTAAACTCGGTTCAGACTGTTGGAGCTTTTGAAGAGGGGAGGTCGATGAGTCTTTTGATGGTAGAAGGTTGGATTTTGATAATTAAGATTGATCAGAATTTGATTTGAGAGGGGTATTTGTGTAAACACTAATCGCTCGATTACCGATGATTGGTAAGGTCGACGGGAGTAAAGTTTGAAAGGTTTTGGTGAATGATGATCGAGAAAGAGAATAGTAGTGGTAGTGTGGGATCGTAACGATGTCAAAATTAAAACGGAATATAAATTTGAGTAGTAAAATAGTGTTTTAAAAGTTTATGAGTAGGAAATGTCATTAAAAATTGTTTACTCTAAACTTTTGCCCCAAAAGATGGTTGACTGTGCCCTACGGTCCCTAACCGAGTTAATGTTACAACATTGGGCCCAACTAGCTCCTCAAATTCTACATATGGTTCAATTGGTCACCTTGACTTTACTTTCTCTTTCATTGGTTTTTTATTTTCTCTTCTACCTGAGCTTTCCATCCATAATTCCTATTTCATTTTCTTAATAATTTAGCTCATCTTTTGGGCTAGAAAAAATTCATAAAAAGAAGTGGAAATTTGAAGTAAGAAGCAAGCGACATAAACTAGAGCCGGTAAATAGAGCAAGACGAACGAAGAGAAAAAAAAAGTCCAAACAATTCTCTCTCTCCATACTAGTTTTCTTCTGCTAGCTGCTCGCCAGTTGTTTCTTTGCATTTTCTTCTCACCTTCCCCGAACCTCTCCACAAAACTGAAGATACTCCACCTAAATAGAGTTGAGTTCAAGAGGAAGATCAGATAGAGTTGAGTTTTATCAAACTATCGGCATGGGTATCTGCTATGGCACTCCTGTAGACAATCACAGTCACATTCACAGCCATAGCCCAGAAACCACAAAACCTTCCAGCCCAGGTACCCACTCATCACTTCCTTGTGTGTCATTCAATCTTCACTCTTCCTTTTTAAATTCTCTTTTGGATGTTATATGAATTTGTTTTACCATGAACTAGGCTATATATGTTTTGTCTTTGACTTTTTCAATATCTGATCGAGTTATACATATTTTTATTTCTGATCGTAAAAGCTTTCAATACTAATCATCAGGATCATTTTTTTGCTCTTTCTTATGTGATCAATTGCATATGCAGATGAGAAACTCAGAGACAACCAACCAAACAAACCGGAAGAGAATATTGTCGTGGAAGATATGCCTTCAAGCGGAAAAATCGTAACCCCAAATATGAAAATGTATACTTTAGCAGAACTGAGAGCAGCCACAAAAAATTTTAGACCAGATACGGTGCTAGGTGAAGGTGGGTTCGGTCGGGTTTTCAAAGGTTGGGTTGATGAGAAAACTTACGCGCCATCAAAGGTCGGGATGGGGATGGCAGTTGCGGTAAAAAAATCAAACCCAGATAGCCTGCAAGGGTTGAATGAATGGCAAGTAAGTTGGTTAATATCTGTTATATATATTTTAACGTTAAAGAACAAAGTTTCAGCTATTTCTGCGCATGATATCATTACAAATTAAGATTGAGTTGACCAAGCCAGTTCTATCTTAACTTGTAGCGGTTTCTTTAAAGTAAATTTTGGATTTCATCACAAAGACCACAGGGTGTTGTGACGTATAGGCTGACGGCACCATCATTTTTGCTACTATAATATGAATCAAATATTCTTTAGATGAGTTCAATTATGTTGAAGAATCATGTTTTTATTTAATTTTGTGGGTGCAGGCGGAGGTGAAATTCTTGGGAAAATTTTCCCATCCGAATCTGGTTAAGCTTCTCGGATACTGTTGGGAAGATAGACAATTCCTTCTCGTGTATGAATACATGCAGAAAGGAAGCTTAGAAAACCACCTTTTCAGAAGTAAGAACATGAAAAACTGTCTAATCATGCAACCCTTTATGGCTTTTGTTATTTTTGCGAACTCACATGGCTGTACTTTTGTCAACAGAGGCCGCTGAGCCTCTTTCGTGGAACATTCGCCTTAAAATAGCAATCGGCGCCGCCAAAGGCCTCACCTTCTTGCACTCATCGGAGAAGAGTGTCATTTACCGGGACTTTAAGGCCTCCAATATCTTGTTGGATGCTGTAAAGAGATTAGTTTTTATTATTGTTATTTGAATAATACTATATATATATATAATATTTTTATAATATAATGCAGTAAAAGATAATTAGATAATGAAGGTTTATTTTTAATTTAAAATTAATGTAAAAAATGTTGTATAATAATATTATATTATGCTTATTCTTTATGGCTAAATACATTTTGACTTAATACTAACTTTATAATATGTTGCACTTTCCAGGATTATAATGCTAAACTTTCGGACTTTGGACTAGCAAAGTTGGGACCGATAAATGGGAACTCACACGTGACAACACGTGTTATGGGCACTTATGGTTATGCAGCTCCAGAATATGTTGCGACAGGTATAAATATAATAGACCTTCCTAATTGTTTTTTTATATATCTTTTTTCATATATGATTATTGAACAATTGATTGGCTGGCAGGACATCTATACGTCAGAAGTGATGTGTATGGGTTCGGCGTCGTTCTGCTCGAAATGTTGACAGGATTACGGGCTCTTGACACCAATCGTCCCTCCGGTAACCATAACTTGGTGGAGTACGCAAAGCCATCTCTTTCGGACAGACGAAAGCTGAAGAAGATAATGGACCCGAGGCTAGAGGAGCAGTACCCTGCAAAAGCGGCGTCCCAATGTGCTGAGCTTATATTAAAATGTCTAGAATCTGACCCCAAAAGTCGCCCTTCCATGGATCAAGTCCTGGAAAATTTAGAAGAAATCAGTGCCATTGAGGTAGACCCTAAAAAGGTTAGAGCCAAAGCCAAACGCAATTCTTCGAAGCAGCGACAAGAGTCGTCGTCTTCTTCTTCTTCTCATCAGCATCATCACCACGGTCATTATCGATCTCCCATGCATTCAAAGCATGGTGACAATGGAACCAGAGCTCGATGCAGTCAGCGCCCATCAATGGTTCGGTGAATGTAATAAACATAGGTCCGGTGCATTTGAATGCAACAATTTGATCATGTTACTCGTATAAAATTTACCATTTCTTCTTCTGTAATTGTTTTGGGAACTTGTATAAGTGGCGAACTGTATGACATGTTCAAATTCTGCCACGAATCGATCAGATCTAATCAACCTCAAATCCAATGACCTAGGCACTACCATTATTTGTACACTTTGTATCTGTAAATTATTAAAAGAACTTGAATTCATGATGGATTATCCCATTTTGTACATTGAACAAAAATTCGACAGTCATTTGACTGAATTTTTGAAACTTAAGTCGTTGTGAGGATAGCAATGGGCTCATCAATTTGCTCTGCCGATGAAGCTAGACCCAAATTTTTATTGAACTAAGAACTCCTGTCAGACCTAACCTCAAGTCCCAAACCCAATGTTCAGCTGAAAAGGGCTCAATACTGGAGCCCATTATAAATAGTGACGATCCGTCATCCAGCTGGCCCGATGTATGCTTTAATATTACCGTCATCTCTCCTAGTTTATGGGCTATACTTTGTCATCCCTCTTTTATAATGTGGATGGAACCATGGATTTGGTTGCAAATGGGAAATCGAAAGGTTTCAGTACACTGACTTTACAGATGAAGACAAACATAACGTGGACAACGAAACAAATATCCTCATCGATAATTTACGGCTTCAATTTGAAGAAAAATGACAATGTGATAGTATGTTTTTCCACGGTGCATAGGCAAAGTCATCCATTAACTATTAATAACGTCATGTTGAGCCGTGAAAATTGACTTTGTATCAGGACCAAGGCGGCCCAGGTCAGGTCACGGTTTAGCACGAAGCCAGGCAGGCACCTGTCACTTGTCCCTCAAGCACTTACCATCTCCATTGATTCCCTGGACTCTTTCTCTATGTGTTTCACACCTACACAAGATATATATTCCTTCACCTAATGTTTACAATATTTTGGACGTTATAATCACATTGTTTGACGTATCAATGCATGTCAAATTTGTCATTCCTAAATTATTGAGCTCATCGTCATCTCTCAGACAAGATCCAAGGTTAAAAAACTTAAATTTCAGAAGTTAGACAATTGTAGAGTTTGTAGTGACTCTATGCCGACAAGGGTCAAACTGAAAAAGATTAATTTTGTTAGAGAAAAGTAAGGCTAAGTTTATGTTAACCCGAAATTGCATGACCGGTTCACTTTATTAAGTAATCTAATTAGTAAAAATCCCATGCCATGCTCCTACACGTGAAACCTCAAATTGTCCTTAGAATTAAAAGCAATATTGATTTCAAAACCCTAAACAAACATATATGATTTCACATGCATTGCTGGCTGCTGCACCTGCACGCTCTCCCTCCATTGCTGACCATGGCTTTGAAAAGAGTTTCATGTCTATGGTTTTCGGCTGATGTGGACCCCTTTGTGGCTCAACACATGGGGGTGAATAGGAACCCACTGCCGGCGCATATCTTACTAATCATTATATCAATCATCAAGTTATATATCCATGGCTTTGATTAAACTTAGGATAGGAGATCTCTATTCTAGGCCATGGATCTACCAGCCACTATACTCATCTTGAATTATTTTATTTGATGTGGGTTTTCATTGGGCTCAAACTTTTAGGTTTCTTAATTCCTCCTAAGGAGGAGTGAAGAGTTTCTAATTTTTTTTTTTTTTTTATCTGGAGATATCCGGGTCAGTTTATATACACCTTAACTAATCCTTCAAGGCTCTAAAATTAACAACCAGGTAAGTCTCAAGTGGCTACCCCTATTAGTAGTCGTGGAGAATCGAACTGAGGATCTCTTAAGTAATACATCCTAGAGTCTCAAGCGAATCATCAAACTATCTAGAATTAGTTTAGTTTCTTAATTCAATCTAGCTACTTGTGGAATATATACCATAGTATTCCCATTAAAGGAGCCGTTTCTAATTTTTTAGGTTTCTTAATTCCTCCTAAGGAGGAGTGAAGAGTTTCTAATTTTTTATTTTTTTTATCTGGAGATGTCCGAGTTAGTTTATGTACGCCTCAACTAGTTCTTCAGGGCTCTAAAATTAACAACCAGGTAAGTCTCCAGTGGCTACCCCTATTAGTAGTCGTGGAGAATCAAACTGAGGATCTCTCGAGTCAATGGCGGATCCAGAAATTTTTTTTAGGGTGGGCCAAAATAAAAAATAATTACATATTAATATTTTTGTCCATTAATATTTTTGTTAGGGTAGACCAAAATCCAAAAATTATATATATTAATATTTAAAAAAAATTGAGAGTGGGCCATGGCCCACCCAAAAATGGACTGGATCTGCCCCTATCTCGAGTAATATATTTAAGAGTCTCAAGCGAACCGCCAAACTATCTAAAGTTAGTTTAGTTTCTTAATTCAATCAAGCTACTTGTGAAATATATACCATAGTATTCCCATGAAAGGGGCCAACTTTTGTGTGGCCAGTTGTCTCCAATGGAGTCAAAATACTTAATCATATTCATAGACCATAGTGACGTTTCTCCTTGTGACATTCACATTCACATTTATAAGTTTTTTAAACTGCAAATGATTAGGCCAACTTAAACTTCCCACTTTTTTAAAATTCATCAAGCAGAATATTAGTTGGACAATTTAAACAAAGTCTATCCTCAATATCTACTGACATGTGTAACATATGAGGAAGCACAAGATCCCAGTCCTTGGATCTCTAGAAACTGAATTCCTCAGACTCGGTAGTCAATGATATGGGGATCCGATCCGGATCAATTCAAAGGACCACTCTAACAACAGCTAGCCCATTTATCTTCATGGGTCATGGTGATGGATGGACTCATAATTACCACACAAAATTGTTTAAATNATAATAAAATGTACTTATAAGCCACATTTTACCAAATACATCAACTACTCATCAATCACTTATAAGTACTTTAACCAAACACGTAATTACTTAAAATTTCAAATGCTTATAAGCTAAAATTACTTATTACTTATAAACTAATTTTAATAAGCTCAAATAATCAACCCCTTAATCTTCGCACTTTTTTAAAATTCATCTAGCAGAATAATGGTTGGACAATTTAAACAAAGTCTATCCTCAATATCTACTGACATGTGTAACATATGAGTAAGCACAAGATCCCAGTCCTTGGATCTCTAGAAACTGAATTCCTCAGACTCAGTAGTCAATGATATGGGGATCCGATCCGGATCAATTCAAAGGACCACTCTAACAACAGCTAGCCCATTTATCTTCACGGGTCATGGTGATGGATGGACTCATAATTACCACACAAAATTGTTTAAATAAATAAATAAAAATATAAATATAAATATTGGCTGTCCCTTAGAGTCCAACAACGCTTAAAAAAACGAGACATGTAAAATCATAAATGAATTCTAGCAGGCGTGTTAAAGAGTGGACTGACTGGAGAGGAGCTGAATCTGCACCCTTGAAAATGAAGCAAAGCCTGCCCTGACCTCACCCTCACGACGGCACGCTTTTATTAATCCTGACAGAAGACTAGCCGCTGCTCCTGGCGCTTTCTTTAAATTAAATTTGATCCTTCTTCATGATACACTCGTTTTTTTAAAGATTCAAAGTAACTCACTACTAGTGTTACGAAATTATGACGGAGCGTTGTATATAAAAACTTGTACTTTGTTAGTGATAATTTAAAGGGTCTTTACAACAAGATTGTTCTTCTTGGTAACATTAAAAATTGAAAGTGAAAGCTATATGTTGTATAAAAGTTAAATTTGGCAAGTGGGTTTGAAGCTTTGATCAAAGGTATTAATGCATGCAGCTAACGCCTTACAGAAAATCCGCCTGGAAAGACGAAAATAAAATACCAGAATGACGTACAAATATCCATCTGGAAAGAGTGTGTGTCTGTGAGATGACAGAATGAGAAACTGTGCTTTTAGCTTTTGGCGCAGCGAGAGGTGGGTGGATGTGGGAGGAAGCTAAAGAGTTGATGTCCATGTGGCGTGTAGGAAGTTTGCATGATCGAGGCGTGGCGCCGAGGGTGATGATAACGTCAAATGAGTAGTAATCATGACCATGACTGGGTCTTAGAAATAAAAAAAAAAAAGGCCCATAACAACGCTAGGTCCGATCTTCTCTCATTTCACTCACTCAATTTGGTTGGCCCCCCACTTCTAGAATGTCTTCTCTTCTAGCTTTTTCGGTCCTCCCACCATCATTATCCCCACACTCCACCTCTAATTACCCTTCTCAGTTTCAATTTAATATCTAATGTATATACGTATCCATACATATATATGTTTATAAATGGAGGATACGTATAACCAATAAGCAGGAGAGGACAGAAAAAACTTCTTGGTTCGTTATCAACAGTGGGTGGATGTTGTCTTATATGGTTGCTTTTTTTATGAAATTCTGGCTTAAAATGAGGAACTATATGTCGATAATCAATTCTAAAACATGCATAAATCCTGTGAGAAAGATCCAAAAGAGGTTAAGCCAACGCAAGATATGTGAACAAAAAAAAAAAAGAATTCCATGCGTTACCTCCAGCAGCTCCCTACACGTAGCAAAGAGAATATATAGCAGATATTTATTAGTTTTCTAGTAGAGGAATTAAATACCTTACTTCAAACCAGAATCTCTAGAAGACCAAAATTAAATGCAAACAAAGATAGTGGTTGATCCGCAATTTGTTTTAACGTGTCATTAAATAAGAAATCCTGAACAAAGTGAATTGTACTGGTGGGGTGGTTGAGGATTTTAATGGCGGCCTTTCCTACCAAATTACTTCAACATTCCAATCTGAAATAAATTCATCACTGAAGCAAGAAACCAAGAAGTGCCATTTTCATTAGGCACGATTTGAGTACTCATCACTCTGTTGAATTTCCCTCTAAATCCATTGAATTTGTCGCCCTCATTGCTGTTTTATAAGGAAATGAGTCAATTACTCCGCAAGAAGCTTAATTAATGTCGACAACTAGATTGGGCAAATATGTCCAATAAAAACTTTCCATTAATGATCCGATTGAAACCAGAAACCTCAACAACCAATATTTATTTTACATGAAACGATCTAGAGAGTATTTAAAACCACACACAAATAACAAAATAATAAATCGAAAAAACATGAGAGTTTATCTTTGATTCACCTAAAATCGCCCAACAGAATCAATAAATTTATTCATTATGAATGGTTATATCATTCTATTAGATTTATTACGAAGTACATGAATCAAAATTTTATGAAAGATGTCATTTTCGTTCACCTACTCAATTCCCTAACTAAAAGTCATTTATTTTTGTTTTAGATAAGGGGGCGTTTTGATATTAACTTGTCAGGTTATGGAATGGAGCAATCCAAAAAACCTCTCTTGTCAGTGGAACAATATTTGGCATTTTACAGTCAAAGGGTTCTCACGGAGAGGAGTTTCCCAAGTGGGCCTATTCGCTGCGCATTCACATTTCAAATCATTATTAAATATTTTTTAACGCCACTCTACTACTTAAATTACCATAATATCCTCTTGTGAACTCGAATCGCAATTTAAAAATTTATTAATACAAGGTACTAAGACAGACAAACCGAAAGCGAGGGCAATTATGTAAAATGGGTGCGAAATTTGATGGATTTAATTCCCGTTGAAATGAGTGAAGTTCCCATTGTTTACACTCAAGACTCAGCGAGAAGAGTGTTTGACATTTAACTATAAATACGGTCTGTTTTTTTGACTCTCTCTATCAGACTGTCACTCACTTATATGCTATAGCACAAATACAATACCACCGCAACGGCTCCACTCACTTGGCTTTTATGCTATCTTTCTAGAAACATTCATCATCGTCAATGGAGCTCTCCCGGAGCTTGAGGTTTCTTCTCTCGATTTCTTTGTTTCAAGTAAGAAGCTATGTTACTATTGTCTTCTTCAATTTACTTTTTCTGCTTCTGGAATTTATACATTCCTGAACTAGAAGTGCTGTTGAATTCCAGAAATTCGAGGAAAATTGGAGAAAATGAAATGTGAATTCATTGTTAATATGTGCTGTTTCTCGGTTTTTGAAGTTACTAAAAGGAAACTAAACGGAATTGTTACAAGAGACTGTCTGCATAGTCTCTTGTACGGATGAGAATTCAAAAATTGAAAATGTGGAGAAAATGCAACTCCGAGAGTCATCTTTGTTTTACTTTACTATTTAGAATCAAAGCGCCTGGATTACTTGTTTTTGGTGAAAGTTGACTGAATTTGCTGTTATATATACCCGCAGGTTTTATTTATTCTATCTATAGTTCGAGCAGAGCGGTCTGATACACGCATGCTTTTGACTTCCGATGGCGTGACAGGGTGCGGTGGTTGTTCTTTTGCAATGTTTAATTGTAAATATGGATATTTATTAAGAGTAAAAGTGAAGAGCTCTTATAGGCTATATTCATTGTTCATGTCACTACTACCTAAGGAATGAAACTTTAATTACTCAGAGAATTGAATTATTCTTACAGCCTAAATCCATACTATATTGGAGAAAGAATTTGAATTTTGTGGATCTTACTAACAGTATTTTTTGTTGTTTAGGGTGAAACATGTCGAGGGATATTGTGCGATGTATGACATTTGCGGAGCACGTAGTGATGGAAAAATATTGAATTGTCCTAATGGTTCCCCATCTGTGAAGGTATAGATTATACCTGTTCTGGCTTAAAGTCTGCAGTAATTGTTTTATTGATGATTCTGAAGTTTTATATGAATTATTTTTGCAGAAGTTGGTTTTGCGTGACAAAGTTGCATGTCTTGTTTAATTTCGACCATATTTTGTTTTTAAATTGTTGCCTAGAGCATGATGATTTTTTACGCTGCCTTTTGTGGTTCATCATTATTCAATTATGGTGAACAGATGTTTTGAGAACTGTAGTAGATAAAAATTCTGCCTGAGATTCTATAAGTTTGAAGTTTCTAAAAGCTGTCTTGATAGTGATTATCTGATGATTACATCTCATTATGTTTCCCCAGCCAGATGACTTGCTATCATCAAAGATTCAAAGTTTGTGCCCAACAATTACTGGCAATGTTTGTTGTACAGAAGCTCAATTCAACATTTTACGGTCACAAGTTCAGCAAGTAAGATTTTATCCGAATCTATTCTTCATATGTCCTTTGATTTGAGGTATTGGTGGGTGATTGAATCATGCTTTTTCCTAGCAATAGAAGGAATTTGCTGTATCCTGGAACTATTACCTTGTTAATTTCTTTACAGGGAAAAGATGTTATGAATACCTTATAGTAATATGCCTATTAGAGGAATGTACTTACTTGGGAAACATGCATGGATAAAGTTACGTTGGTCTACTATGTTCAGCAACTTGGGTTAATATCCGTAGTGGTTTAAAGTTTTGGAGAAACCTTTCATCTTCTGCTTGACCTTTAGTTTTTAGATTCATTTCTTTTGTAGGCTAGCAGCTGCATGTTCTTATTAAACTGGCAGCCACAAAGTTCTAGTTATTGGAACTATTCGAAACTTTAAAGGATGGCTAACATTTATGATATTGTATGTTAAACTCTTACCTTAAAGGTGTCTTTGGTTTCTGGTGTTTTTTTCAAAGCAAATGACCCTTGTTACATTGCATATTGCTTTATTTTCTGTTTTGTGGTATTTACTGTGCCAATAGTACATGTATTTGCTGTTATTATCATATATTTATGAGTTGTTTGTTAATCTTTTATGTTCTACAGTTTGTCAACTACGTTTGTTCATGATGCTATCCAAATTTCCCCTCTCTTTTAGCATATATATATGATTCTTATGTATATGTACTTTTTGGCAGGCCATTCCTTTTCTTGTAGGCTGTCCAGCATGCTTGAGAAACTTTCTAAATCTATTTTGTGAGCTTTCCTGCTCTCCAAATCAGAGTTTATTTATCAACGTGACTTCCGTTTCTCAGGTAAGCAGTCCCAGCTACACGGACGTGGTCTCATTTCAAGAGATCTCTATGCATTTATACAATTTTTTTCTGTTTCCTATGAAAAAAATATCATTATTATTCATTATTCCAAAAAAAAAAAAAAAAAAAAAAGAAAAAAGAATCTATTGGTTTCTTTGTCTCCTCTAAATTGAGTATGTGATAAGCTAGTTGGTCCTTCTGAAGTATCAGAATATGCACTCACGTTGTTCCTTGGACTGTTATAACATTTGTATTGTTGATCCACCTGATGGGACTTGGTTACATAGCAATAGTTTCTGCACAGTACTCCTTGGGGTTAAACTGTGACATGTACAAGATATTCAGTCTATATTTATCCCAGAACTTTCTCTTCTATTTTATCTTCGTTCATAGGAATATCTTAATTTGTTGGATTCAACTATGTATCTGCCAATTTTACAGTTCTAAGTTATAGTTTTCTTCATATTCCTTATTAGAGACAGAGATACCTAGAGGCACATCTAGTTTATCTAAGGAATCTTATTCTCTTTGCAGGTCAATAAAAATATGACAGTGAATGAGATTGATTATTATATAACCGACACTTTTGGTCAAGGGTTATATGAATCTTGCAAGGATGTAAAGTTTGGAACCATGAATACTCGAGCTCTAGATTTTATTGGTTCTGGCGCTCAAAATTTTAAAGGTAAGTTGATACTTGACAGTAGATCTTTTTAGTAGATAGCCTCATCGATAATTTTCACAGGCAAGGGAATAAATGTTTTTATCCTTTGTGGTTATGAACATTTAAGTTTTTTTCCTACAACTTCTTGTGCTTTGCATGTTTGCGTTTGGCAGATTGGTTCACTTTTATTGGTAGACGGGCTGCTCCTAATTTGCCTGGTTCTCCTTATCCAATTAAATTTTTGCCAAGTGCTCCTGAGTCATCTGGGATGAAACCTATGAATGTAACTACTTATTCGTGTGGTGATGTTTCACTGGGTTGTTCCTGTGGTGACTGCAGTTCATCTCCTGTGTGCTCTAGTAAAGCACCTCCTTCTCTCCATAAACAGGGCTCCTGTTCAGTAAGGATTGGATCTCTTAAGGTAAAAGCTGAGAGTATTATTGATTCACATGTGGCTGTTGCTTTATTTTACTTGTTTGTATTGAAAAAATTGCTTTTAGTAAATTAAAGTGCATTTAGACATCTAAATAGTGTAAATTAGGTAAATGCATGAATTGCTAATTTTGTTTCACTGGATGACATCTGCAGGCCAAATGTGTCGACTTTGCTTTAACAATCCTGTATATAGTACTGGTTTCTGTGTTTCTTGGGTGGGGTTTCTTTCATCGTAAAAAAGAAAGGAACAAAACCTTTAGAATGAAGCCACTGTTGAATGTGATGGATGGTGGTGAACTCCATCCTGTTGATAGGCCGAAAGATGAGAATGTCCCCATGCAGGTACCTGCCAATTTTACTGATTCCAAAGTATTATGTTTCTGAGAATATTTTATCACCGTAATGTAACCGGTGACTTGAGAGATGAGTGAACTTGTATTTGGTGGCTCCATTTTTTAATTGTATATCAGGAGCCCTGGAACGGTATTGTTCTTTTCTGATTTTTAACTGGAATACTTGAAAAAGTAGCATCATTCAATAGTGAAATTCTAATGATTGTTCATTCCTTTATTTCTTTGAATAATTTTAGATATAATGTCCATTTGCCGGTTAGACTCTGATGCCAACTATACCCAAGGAATGGCTCAAGCTTGTAAATTTGTTTCTCTAATAATCTATTATTCTCTGTTTTCATCCATGTCACTCTCCCTTTTTCTTTCCATGACTTCCATCTGTCGGCTACATCTTACAATTCAGTTCTCTGAATTTTTATATCAGATGCGTGAAGATGCTTCTCAAACTAGAAACAGGATTCAACTTTCAATTGTGCAAGGATATATGTCAAGTTTTTACAGGTCACTACTGCCTATCCCATGAATGCTTGAATTATTTCACACAGAATGATATCTGACTTTGTGGAAACATATTTATGTTTAGGAAATATGGAACATGGGTTGCTAGAAATCCAACTCTCATATTGGGTTTGTCACTGGCTATAGTTCTTCTGCTTTGTTTAGGTCTAATCCGTTTCAAGGTGGAAACACGACCTGAGAAGGTAATATTTGATATTAAATAGCTTAATGCATCTTCTATGAATATGTTATTTTTTTCCTTCTTGTTGCCTTATTTGTAGTCCTTTATTGCAGCTCATCATTGTAAATGTGCTTCTGTGCTGCTGTTATGCCAGTTTACATACAATTCTCTCTCTTTTGATCAATGCACTTTTGCATGCTATAACAGACACTTTTCATATTTTGCTGTTATTTCAGTTTGTAGTTATTATGGTCTATTCTTGATATGGTTAGAATCATTCAGTTACAGCAGTAGTAGTATGCCTAGAATAACTGTCATAGTAACACAAAATTGGTAATTTGTGGAACACATGAAGGCAAGGGGTTTCAGATCTAGCGAGATTATGCCATGATGCTTTTTGCTGAGTCAATGGCAAGTGATATAACCGTTCATGGTTTGTCTTATAGATTTATAGTTTCTCAGGTGTTATTCCACTTGATATTGATTTTTTCATGCTGACTTCAGTTCGAACATTTGAACTAATTTCCACCTTTTCGAACATTTGAACTAATTTCCACCTTTTAAAGCCAGTTGAGTATCTTCTTATCATAAACTGGACAAATTTGATAAGTGTATGTGGAAAAAAGTGGGAAAACTTATAGGAACTAGAATTTTTTAAGCAGATACTAGTATGCTCATTTCTTTAAGTTTCTGGGTTCAAACCTTGGGGCCATCTACTACAACAATATTGTGACTTATCTGGTTCTTTGGGCTTGTGAGATATTCAATGGATTCCGGAGTTTAGTTGATGTGTTGTGGAACTTTGGCCCGAACACCTCCGTTACCGCCCCCCCCCCCCCCCCCCCCCCCCCCCCCCCCCCAAAAAAAAAAAGAAAAAAAAAAATGGAAATCACAAAATTTATAAGTAATCCATGGAAATTTAATGAATATATGTGGAGAGAGATGAAAAAACTTCGATAAAACTGATTGAAATGTTAATTTAAGAGGTTAATATGCATTTGGGAAACAGGACCAGAGAAGAATACACACAAAGATATATAAAATGATCTTAATTTCCATAGAAGTTATTGAGGACTATTATGTGCTGAGTTCCTAATACTTATTTCTGAGTTTTAGCATTATATAAATCTAAGATCAAGTTGTTGTCCTGTTAACATTTCTTTCTTATTGCTTGAATATCTTTATACTTATAATACTAGTTCTGTTTCAGCTATGGGTGGGACCTGGGAGTAAAGCTGCAGAAGAGAAACAATTTTTTGACGGCCACCTGGCCCCTTTTTACAGAATTGAACAGGTTCAGCAACATCACACATATTGTTTTCTTGATCATTCTTTTGTCACCTTATCCAGTTTCTTATATGCATAGTTTCTTAGTAGGAAAAGGGTCATTTTGAAAAGCTAGAAGACCTAAATTAAGAGGAAGGTTTTAAAGACTTTTAAGTTGATTGGAAATTTTGTCTTTCATAATTTTACGGAAAGAAACAGCCAGCAAACAATTTTGTCTTTTCAAAAGGGCCAAAAATCAGCTGCAGCCTGGAAACTTTTGCTTTAATTTAAAATTTCATTGTTCAGGTGTTTTCTTGAGATATGATTGTTGTAGGATTTTTCTAGCTTTCCTTACATTGTGGAGCTGATAAATTTATGGAGCTCTATTTACTCTTCTTAAGGGTTCTAGTCTTTGACATAGTTTGTTAAGCTGTTCTTTTCTTAATGTATTTTGTGTCTGAATCAGTTTATAATTATACAGCTTTGCTCAATTATTTATTAGTATTTCACCTTTTTACATTCAAATGATGAAACAGTTGTTCAAATCGGATTCCAGAAAGTTGAACCAAGAGAACTTTCATTGTATGTCATGGAATTATTTTCTCTGAAAAACTAATCTGTGTCATATTTTCCAGCTAATATTGGCAACAATTCCAGATACTACACATGGGAAGCTACCCAGTATTGTGACAGAGAGTAACATTAAGTTGCTTTTTGATATACAGAAGAAGGTATTATTAGAGCACAGTTCTCTAACATAATTGCATCAACTTGGATTAACTTGGGACTCACAGTGTATTGTAATTTGTTGAATCAAAGTTGTAGAGCTTATTCACGCTTTTTTCTTGAACAAGTTGGATTTAAAATCTTACAATCTAATATCACCGAATCTTAACAGATAGATGGACTTCGTGCAAACTATTCCGGCTCTATGATATCTCTGACTGACATTTGCATGAAGCCATTGGACCAGGATTGTGCCACACAAAGTGTTTTGCAGGTAGCCTTCTTGCTTCTTGGTCTAAAGTTGAGTGACCTACATGGATGCTAGTTAAAATTTCCTTGATAAGTGTTTAACACAAATGTAGGAGAGGGATGTCAGCTAAATGAAATACCTGAAGTGTGATTTTATTTTTTATTCATTAATTTTATTTTTTATCTTAATGGTGCACAATTTCAATAAATCACTTTATAAGCCTTGTAGTTCTCCATGTGCAGTGCCTAGTTAATTTTTTGCTGTAAACTTTTGGGCTTGCAGCTCTTACAATAGGCCCTGCTTCTTTTTATATTCACATCCATTTAATAGCAATATGTTTATTCCATTTTCTATTATCTATCCCAAGCCTTGTGATAGACTGATTTTTTCCCAAAGTTGCCATGCTCTTTGTTGTATGGCCACATTTCTCAAATTAATATGCATGTCTGTTTCATTTTCCATTGTGATACATAAATGATCTAGGGCTAACATTTTTTTTATCTCCTTTATGATAGTATTTCAAAATGGATCCTGACAATTTTGATAATTACGGAGGAGTTGACCATGTGAAGTATTGTTTTCAGGTATGCATTGGTAATCTTGATCTCCATGTTAACATGTTCGACACTTTTGTACAAATTTGTTGAACTGTTTGTTCATTGCAAATTTAAATTCTAGAGGATATATGCTGTAAAATATGAAACGAATATTTTAAGTATATAGGTGCTTATATGAGTTGCGTATAAATATGAAATGAATATTTTAATTATATATGTGCTTATATGAGTTGTGTCTGACTGATGGATCACTGGATTGATGGTAGTGGTTCCATTAAAGGGGATCACTGCTTTACTTAAATTTATACTCATGCATTCATAAATATGAATATTGGCATATATGTTGCCAATCTGGCTGCTATTTTGGAATGAAGTTTTAACTTCACACTTGCGTCACTGTTCTTGTACACAGCACCAGCACTATGTTTTGTGAGAGTCCAATTAAATAGTACTTGGTCCAAAAGAATGAAAAAGGCAATTGATATTAAGGTTCATGGAAAAAGTATCAATTAATGGAGCTATATTAGATTTTCATCTGCTGGTTTTTTTATGACTAAACAAAAGAATTTTAGCCGCATCTTTCTTTCTGGATTTGCAGATAATTTATTTGCCTTGTTGGTAAATTTCATATATTGGCATAGGCAGAGGCATCTGTATAATATATTCTTTCCACATTCTAGATCTGTGTAATAATAGAATTTAAAAAGCCTTTTCCTTCAATACTCTTTTGATTTATATCTCTCCTTTTTATTATGTGGATATTTTCCAGAAATGGGCCTATTGACTTCATTACATGTTTTTTCAGCATTTTACCTCTACGGACAACTGTATGAGCGCTTTCAAAGGCCCACTTGATCCAAGCACTGCATTAGGAGGTTTCTCTGGGAACAATTATTCTGAGGTAATTTTTCACCCCTTCTTAGTTTCTGTGCTACTAAATCATTGAAGTATTTAACATACAATGACTTTTACAAGACAGGCATCTGCATTTATAGTAACTTATCCAGTAGACAACGCTATCGATAAAGAAGGGAATGAAACTAAAAGAGCAGTGGCTTGGGAGAAGGCCTTTATTCAGTTAGTTAAGGTTTGTGCTCTATGATTTTGCCATTTACTGATTGTTGTCATTTACTGATTGTTCTTTTAGCTTGTTAAACACTTGGGTAGAGCGCCACCCTGCTTTAGGAAGCAGGTGCAGAAAGCATATATAGATGTTTATCTTCAATACATGATATGTTATGTTCCTTTTCATCCATTCTAGTATTTCCTAATAGTTATTGAAGCCCCATCATGGTGCTTTCTGATTCTCTTTCAACTTATATCTTCGCTGACAGGATGAGTTGTTGCCAATGGCACAGTCTAAAAATTTAACACTTTCTTTTTCATCGGAAAGTTCCATAGAGGAAGAACTGAAAAGAGAAAGCACTGCAGATGCCATAACTATACTGGTGAGCTTTAATTTCGTACTTTTTGGATCTTTTGAATTTTGGATTTTGGATTTTGATTTTGATTTTCCATATGGAGGAATAATGTTCCAAAATTATCTCCAAATAGGATTTATGAAATTTGGTTGAGAAAATGATCATGTAGTGGATTCTACTTTTCAGATTTAGTCTTTTTTGAGTTGGTGTAGAAATCTATCAATTTCTTTCTTTTTTTTTTTTTAATTTTGTCAACATGCCAATTCTACTCCATCATCTGCAAATATGTGAACTTTTACTCTATAATTGGAATGTTTGCATAACTCAACTCAGCTAAGCCTCAAACCCAACTAGTTGGGGTTGGCTGTGTATTCTTTTCTGTCATTCTTCCTTGTTAGAGGCAAAACAAAATGCTTTCATACTGATTATATATATTGCCACCTCATTTCATTTCAGATAAGCTATCTAGTGATGTTTGCTTACATATCTCTTACTCTGGGTGATACACCTCGCTTATCTTCCTTCTACATTTCTTCTAAGGTATTAAAGTATTCATTACTTTTCCATACATAACACATTAGAAACTTCATCTCATTTTTCTCTGGATTATCTGAAGTATATAATTGGTTGGATTTTAGGTACTGCTTGGTCTTTCTGGAGTTGTTCTTGTAATGCTGTCTGTTCTTGGATCAGTTGGTTTCTTCAGTGCAATTGGAGTAAAATCTACTCTAATCATTATGGAAGTTATACCTTTTCTTGTTCTAGCAGTAAGTTCCATCTTTCTTTACTTTCAGATTTCCTGTGGTGCTGTATGGCGACTTATTAGTTATGAGTTTGCATCTGTCTTAATCTAGTCCCATTTCAGAGGTGTAATATGAACCATAAATTATCAAGGAAGTTCACTGGATGCCTGGAAATAAAAATAAAACTTTTAAATTTTGATTGAATGACCAGGACCATGTAGTCTATACTCCGGATTCACCTTATATATGCCACTCATTGATAGACTTATCAGCTGATCTTTTGATTGAACGTGAGCTTTAAATGGACTATTCCAATTCTTTCTATACTCAAATTTTTCTCTACAAGGTTATCTCTTCTTCTAAATTCAGTTAAGATAGTTTCTTAACTTCAAAAGACCATCAGCTTTTACAAAACAAAAATAAGACATTAAATCTTGCCTGTGGATTAGTATCTAGTTGTATTGTAGCTTGTAATCCTTAACTTCTTTGTATAACAGGTTGGTGTGGATAATATGTGTATACTGGTGCATGCTGTTAAGCGGCAACCACTGGAATTGCCTTTAGAAGGGCGAATAAGCAATGCCCTTGTGGAAGTTGGACCATCTATAACACTTGCTAGTCTATCTGAGGTTTTAGCATTTGCAGTTGGAAGTTTTATTCCTATGCCAGCCTGCCGTGTGTTCTCCATGTTTGCTGGTCAGATACTTTTATCCATTTCAATTGATGAATCATACGGATAGTTCTCTTTATCCTTTTTGTGTGATTGTCATGATGTTTTATGTCATGCTTATTGTTCAATTCTAATTTGATGATGTTTTATGTCATGCTTATTGTTCAATTCTAATTTGTGTATTCTTTTTGCAGCATTGGCTGTTCTGTTGGACTTCCTTCTGCAAGTTACTGCTTTTGTTGCTTTAATAGTTTTTGACTTTTTGCGAGCTGAGGATAAGAGGATTGATTGTTTTCCATGCTTAAAAATATCTTCATCATATCCTGACTCTGATAAAGGTATTTTTAAGATTTGTTAAACTGTGTTTACACTTCAATATTCTAACTTTTTATTTTAAACTGGACATCAACTTTGACCAAGAATATCTTTTGAAAGCTTAGGCATTGGTCGGAGAAAACCTGGGTTGTTGGCTCATTACATGAAGGTAATCAACTTTAGCTAAACTTACCTGGGAAATCATATTTCCTTAAACAATGCTTTAACTACGTTTTATGGCATGTCCTTTTTTGTTTTCAATCGTGGCTCTTTAGGCTTTTAAATACATTTCCCGTATGAACAAAAGGGCATAGCTCTCATATTTGGTCCACATATATATATTGGAGAGTATATCTGGAGAGTAGATCATACTGAGTATACTGTGATATTGAATTAACTTGAATTTTCATGAGGGGGTGAATATTCTTTAAAGAATGGGCATATCTGGCCAAAGAATGATCCCCTGTATGCTCATGTTATGGGTCTCATTTGGGTTATATAAACTTGGCTATAACAGTTTTGCCACCACTCATTGTCTGCATGGTGAATTGCTTATTTTTTAATTGGGAAGAAACAGGAATGTTTAGCTTGTGCTAGATACATCACCATCTTTCTGAAAAAGTAAAGAAAAAAAGAGCTGAATCACCTAAATTAAGAAAATAATTAAAATAATAGAAGAACATAAATGTGCTTGAATTGCCAGAAAAAGTTGAAATGGTACACCACCACAAACTTTATTTAATACTAAGCTTAAGCTATGATACCTCATCTAACAGAAATATAAAATTCACCACTTGTCTATCACATTTATAAATGCATGTGGATTCCTTCTGTAGTTGTGCTACCTGATGAAAATGGGAATTTCATAGTTTAGTAACTTACTTTACCAAGTATTATTGATGTTCTTTCTGGTTAATCAGCAAGTACATTGATGTTTGATTCTTATAGGAGGTCCATGCCCCGATTCTGAGTCTTTGGGGAGTGAAAATAGTAGTCATTTCTGTATTTGTTGCGTTCGCTTTGGCTAGCATTGTGAGTTGCTCTCTCTCTGTGCATATATATATATCTTCCAAAATTATATGTTATATATATTTTCGCTTGATGTGTTTCCATATTTCTCAAGTTTGTCATATTTCTAAAATTCACAGGCCTTATCCACCCGGATTGAACCTGGTTTGGAACAAAAGATTGTTCTTCCCCGTGACTCATATCTTCAGGTTCAACCTAATTGATGATACCTCTTCGTTNTTCTGTATTTGTTGCGTTCGCTTTGGCTAGCATTGTGAGTTGCTCTCTCTCTGTGCATATATATATATATATATCTTCCAAAATTATATGATATATATGTTTTCGCTTGATGTGTTTCCATATTTCTCAAGTTTGTCATATTTCTAAAATTCACAGGCCTTATCCACCCGGATTGAACCTGGTTTGGAACAAAAGATTGTTCTTCCCCGTGACTCATATCTTCAGGTTCAACCTAATTGATGATACCTCTTCGTTTAACAGAGAACTTGAATATGTATTTATCTGTTCACTGCAGCAACTTTTTCCTCTTTGTTGCAGGGGTATTTTAATAATGTTTCAGAGCATCTCAGAATTGGACCGCCTCTGTATTTTGTTGTGAAGAACTATAATTACAGGTATTCCAGTGTAATTTTTTTTTTTTTTGGCCTCAGGTTTGATACCAGTCATAGCTATACATTGATCTCAAAGTTGAGTCGGCAGCAGTTTTTATTTCTTGGTTGCACCTAAACATATCTTGGTTTTGTTAGCATGTCATATCAATTATACTTTTCATGCTAATGTTGCTATACTCCTCAGCTCAGAATCGAGGCAAACGAATCAGCTTTGTTCTATCAGCCAATGTGATTCAGAATCTCTTTTAAATGAGGTACAATTTTTCCCTTTTTTCTCTGATAGATGAAATTTGGTTCTCTGAGACTGTTTCTTTATATGGTATATTACTCCCATGCATATCTTTTATTCTTGATCTGAAATTTCACTTGATACACCTTGCTTTTGATGACACAAGAATTTGGGCACTTTTTTTATTTTACATCTATCCCTTTTATTCTCAGGATGCATATCTTGATTTGAATATTTCACTGATGATAAAATAAATTTAAGAGTGTGTTGTTCACCAGTGATTTTGAAATTTTTAGATGGTTGAATGTATCTGGGCTCTTAGTTATTTCAAAGGTTCTGTTTTCTTTGATACAAATTTTTTGTCTTCTCTTTAGATTGCAAGAGTGTCGTTAGTTCCAGAAACAAGCTACATAGCTAAACCAGCTGCTTCATGGCTTGATGATTTCCTGGTATGGATATCTCCTGAAGCATTCGGTTGCTGTCGAAAGTACACGAATGGGAGTTATTGTCCCCCCGATGACCAGGTCCTAACCCCATCATTGTGATGCCTTCGATTTTTTTAAATTAATTTTATGGATGATTATCACTTTGACTTCGAGATTTATCATAATATCGAACTAAAAATACTGTGTTCGCCCATGTTATTTTGGAAAATATTATATACCCCCATGATTCAGAAGATTTCATGTTCAACCCCTCTGGTTTGGAAAAATCGTGAGACCCCTTGCAATAAGAAAATGTCATCTGAATCCTTTATAGTTGGAAAATAATATATGTGCCCCTCATGATTTGGAATTCTTTTATGATCCTTATACTTTTAGAAACTTTAGCCTAAATATCATCTAGAGACATAAATAAATACTACAGGCAAGGATGTCTATGATATTTTAGAAAATTATATTTATATTCACCCTAATTTCTTGGTGAGAAATGTGTACGGATTGTTTTGCTTGAAACAAGCATCGGTAAATAATCACGTGTACTCCATTTGGATGATCCATGGGTGCATGTCTGTTTATTAAATGTTATGGGTTATTGAAGTATAAAATTAAAGGCCCTTGTGGTGATTTTGGTTTTGGAAAACAATGTAAATTCCAACATAGGTACTGGGAATTTGTTGAATTTAATTCGTGAATTATATATAGGCTTAAGTCAAAATTAGCTTTAAATATCAGTTCTTTTTGCTTCAGCATGTAATATTATACCTTCCATTTCTGAATACAACTTGAAAGAAGTCTCCATTTTCATTTCTGAATACAACTTGAAAGAAGTCTCCATTGTCCAATGTTAGCTTCAGCGTTCGTAACTGCTTTGGATTGTAAACAGATGTTATCGAACATAGTTTACAATCACTTTCTGGATATCTAACTTTGGTGCCTTTTAGGTCTTCTGTCTTGTATTCGTAATTCAATAGCATACTAATTCAAATAGTCTTTCTTCCAGCCTCCTTGCTGTCCAGCTGGTCAAAGTTCTTGTGGACTGGGTGGACCATGTAAAGACTGTACCACGGTAATGTAAAACCCCTATGCTGGAGAAATAGTTCAAGTGAATTCGATCATGGAAGCATCGGTGTTTCTCGTTTTCAAAACTAAGTGGCTTAATTATTTGATATTTGTGTTCTTCAGTGCTTCCACCACTCAGATTTACTTAATGATCGACCATCTACTGCACAATTCAAGGAGAAACTTCCATGGTTCCTCAATGCTCTGCCTTCTGCTGATTGTGCTAAGGGTGGCCATGGTGCATACACCAGCAGTGTGGAATTGAGAGGTTTGTAGGATTGGATTTGTTCTTTGATGATTACTTCCAATACAAATCACAAGTCAGCGCTTGACCATTTCAGTCTAACACATTATGTGCTTGTGTGCAATATTACTTCGGTATATTTTTACATATATTTCCCTCACAGGTTATGAAAGTGGCATTATCCAAGCTTCATCCTTCCGCACTTATCATACACCCCTCAACAAGCAGGTTGGAGTATGAGACAAATTTCTTATAATGCAATGAAATTCAAGTGTATTGTGTTGTTTCCCTTATATTGCATTATAGATACTCACCTTTATTTCAATTATAATTCCTTTCAGGTTGATTATGTTAATTCCATGAGGGCTGCTCGAGAGTTCAGTTCAAGAGTTTCTGATTCGTTGAAGGTAATAAATGTCACTGCCTCAATAGTTTCACTTCTTCTATCTAAAAAATTTCAGAAATTTTTTTTTTTTGCTAGTATGCATACAGTTGTCTCCTTAGGCAGCAGATTAATGTTGCTTCTTCTTATAGCTGTCTCTTGTTGCTGCTGGCAATCAGTTAAAATTGTTAAATCTGATTAACCTGCATCTGACACACTAACTTGAGCTGTTCAGGAAGGATTCCTGTTGTTGTTGTTGTGTCTAATTATATATCAAATAGGCTGTGTATTTATAACCTTTTGCTTTGAATCTAATTTTCTTTTCTGATGCAGATTGATATCTTTCCATATTCAGTGTTTTATATGTTTTTTGAGCAATACCTCAATATATGGAGAACAGCATTGATCAACCTTGCTATAGCTATAGGTTAGTATGCTGAGGAGTCCTGTGCTTATTAACTAAACTATAATGCATTTTTGTAGGTGCTTTGATCTTTGATGTTTTACTGGTATTTTTGTTCTTTGCTTTTTAAGTTTGGGCTTTTGGTGATCTTCATGGCAATGTTCTGATCTCCTTTTCAAAATGACCATATTGTGGCAGAGTGAATCATAATGATTGCTACGTGGAAACACTAGCATATGTTTCATTGCACAAAATAATTCATAAGTGCAAAACTGCACTAGTAATTTGAAGTTATTTTTTCTAGTCAAATACACTAATTTATTTATTTGATGATTTTACCAGGAGCCGTATTTGTCGTTTGTTTAGTTATTACATGGAGGTAAGTATTCTAATTTTAGGCCTTGTTTAAACTAAAATTCTTTTGCTTCCTTGAGAAAATGGAACTAGCAGGACGCTGGGGATCAGTTCTTACTAAATGAATTGCTGTTGACTTTGTTCCATCTTTGATTTTTAAATGTAGCTTTTGGAGTTCAGCCATCATTTTGCTGGTGTTGACTATGATTGTGGTGGATCTCATGGTACCTCTTTGTAACTTTCCTCGTATCAATTATTGATGTTATTTGACTGCATATTTTACCTTTTTGATATCTGCTAACAGCATGATTTCTGCAGGGTGTGATGGCAATTTTGAAGATCCAACTGAATGCAGTCTCTGTTGTTAATCTTATTATGTCCGTTGGCATCGCTGTTGAGTTCTGTGTGCATATAACACACGCATTTTCAGTCAGTACCACTCCCTTTTCCATTTTATCTTCTTAATTTACATCTTCTAACTTGATGGTGGGACAGATTCTTTTAACACCGCCTTCATTACATATTTCATCTTTAAAACCCTTCTGTAATTTGATACTTTCCCATTTTTAATTCTTGTTTTCAGTGTGCCATTTTGTACATATTACTTCTCGTGGCATGTTCTTAAGCATTTCTTTTACAGGTAAGCAGTGGGGATAAAGACCAACGTGTGAAAGAGGCTCTTGGTACAATGGGTGCTTCTGTCTTCAGGTTCTTTTTCCTCTCTTCCCTATAAAGCTAATATCTAGACTGAAGCCGACCTTAACTGATTCTCTGAGATGGTTGTGTTACTGTTTTGATCCAGTAAATTAATCTGTGCTTGTAATATTTGATACACGGGTTTTTAGTGAACTGTGGTGCCAAACTATTTGGGTTCTTCAGAACCTATTTACAAGATTGAATCTTATCCCTGCTTAAATGTAAATTTACATCCGTAACATTCTCTTGAAGTAACAAATTCTATTTTTTTTTTCTCGACTTTTGCAGTGGAATCACACTAACAAAGCTAGTTGGAGTGATTGTTCTTTGCTTCTCAAGGACAGAAGTCTTTGTGGTACCTTTTCCCACATTTAATTCTCAGCTATAAGAACCAACATTCTCCAGTCCAGTTGATATTTTCCTTCTAAATTTTGCAGGTTTATTACTTCCAGATGTACCTGGCATTGGTACTTCTTGGTTTCTTACATGGACTTGTATTTTTACCCGTAAGTATTAATATTAATGATACTTCAGTTGCTTTAGATGAGTAAATTTTGAGAAAATAATTATGGATCCTGGAGGAGAATGTCGAGTCAATAACTCCCCTCGGCTTTGCAATTTGCAGGTTGTATTAAGCGTGTTAGGTCCGCCTTCAAGATGTGTACTTGTGGAGAAGCAAGGAGATAGACCATCAGTTTCTTCACAGTAACAAGCAATCATCTGTTTGGTGCATCAAAGAGGTTTCTTTTCTTTTTTTTAGTTAAGAGTAGGGTTAAAATTCTGCAGTTTTGATAGTCAAATTGCATGTATAAACTGACGCCATAAAATTACATTAAATAGCTTCTCACACGTAAAGTGTACAATCTTCAACGAGAAAAAGAAAAAAAAAAAAAAAAAAAGTTTGTGTCAATATTCTTTTCAGCCGATTATGTACAAGCTATGCCGGTTAAGACTAGTTCAATCATGTTATGGTTGTGGACCGTCCATTTTAATTTATGATATTGGACACGTTTGATGATATCCCTTCCAAATGTTATCTCGTTGCACGATTTAGATAGAATAAAGGAGACAAAACTTAATGATCAAATAAAACTAATTCCTTTAATATATAGGTTTTCCAGTTGGTAGATTGTAACGATAAGAAGGAGAAACATAATTTAATTTATAGGTTTTTCAGTTAGACGATTAAATTTGTTTGATTTACCGACATCCAAAATAAGAATAAAAGGAAAAACAAACCCAAGATCTGTTTTAAAGTGGTTGTTGCTGCATAGGAAGCATCCAAAATAACAATGGATTAAGATCAAACCCACTGGGATCCACTATTGAAACCTATTGCTTTTAAATTCTTCTGACTTATTTAAAATCTAAAATAACTTTATCATAACATTTTTATTTTACAATATATTTCATGATAATATAAAATTTGTAAAGGATAAGACTAAAAAATAGAAAAATATTCACCTCCCCTTTCCTTTGTTTCCTCTCTCTCTCTACTCTTCTTGTTTCGTGCATCCCAAACATCATCCATTTTTAATTTTTTCTCTAATCATTCACGTAGCAAACACATCTGCTTGACCAATCAATGTTGGCAGAATAATATAAAACACAAATTACAAGGCAAGCGGTGCAATGCAAATCTTGAATCCAAAAAGTTGGCAGAATAAAATGAACCCCAGCTAAAAGACACTTGACTAAGACCAAATATGAGCATAGAGAAATTCGATTGATTATGCATTTTTTGAGTTTGAATAATTCAGTATCTCTAGGAACACCCGCTATGGGGATACGACAGCAGGCAGTATCTCTTACACATTATACGGCTCCGGATCTAGTGGCACATTCATCTTTCACCATGTGCACAGATCGCTTCTCTATTCAAATCACCAATTAAAAAAAAAAAAAAAACAAAAACATAACAGGAGATGGGCATAAAAACAAATCCACTAAGAAGCTTAGTAAGTGGAGCTTCATGTAATGACTCAAAATAAATTAGAAACTGAGAGTTACCTAATTCTAGAATACTCTCATGTTGTCATGTCAGGGAATAGTAAATAAAACAAACCCATATCCATTAAGTATTGCGATGAAGAAAATTCCACTATTATTTCATCTTTTGATTTCGACAATTTACACTTCACTGATGGAAAATAATGGTAACAAATGTTACTGAAGGATGTGTACCGAATGACGTGACATAATCCTGACTGTTGATTAATATTAATTCATAATTAATCGACGATCAGGATTTCGTCACATCATTCGGTGCGCATCTTTTGGTAACTGTAGCATTACTCCTTCACTGATTTCCCGCCATTTAATATACTACAGGAAAACCAACAGAAATATTCCAAAACTGTTATGGCCTGATTCTAACTTACTTTGGCTACTGTTCGCGTCCAGCAACTCGTTTATCCAGCCACCAACTTCAAGCCTTGCGCGATTTGGAGACTGATTGTTGTGAATAGCCGTTCAATTCCTATGCCAGAATATTATGCTGAGTGCTTTACCATCACAGTTTTAAAATCCAACCAGAGTCAATGGAAGAATTCTTCTTAGGATCAAGAAGGGCCACTGCTACCCAATAACCTTTCTGAAAGATGATGAGAAGGTTGCAGTGAGATTTTAATTGTGTGGCTCTGAGATGATTGGCATATATCAATACACTCCTCTAAATCAGCATCACATGTTAATAAGACCCACTCACAGTCATCATCTAAGTACTTGAGATCAAATATGCTCATGTTTTCGATATTAAACCGCCTTGCAATTTCTTGTACTAAATCATTAAATTTCCAATTATCTTGCATGCGGAGTCTTATTTTCTCATCTCCGAAGGAGATTTTTACTCTCAGCACGTGAACCTCTTGGGATAACTGGCCACAATTTTCTGGCAAGGAAGAAAGAGTCTCCAAAATGTGCTGTTCAGTAAGAGATTTGTGGCGTTGTGACCTTGGCAACAACGTCGGTCCTTGATTTGAAGCATGCAGTTCTGCTTCACTTCTGACCCTCTTCAAAACAACATTTCCAGAGCTCTCTCCAGCCATAGGATCTTCATAACCAGCAACGCTGTTTGCAGAAAAGTGTTTCTGAGTCCCACTGGAACAAGAATGGCTTGAACTGGAACTCTGACTATAAGAGGGTGATTTTGCTGCTTTGGGGCTGCAAATGCCACCTTTGGGCTGCAGGCTTGTTGGCTTGAGATGATCACTCAGCACAGAAGTTGTAAAAGGACTAGTTCTTGATACATTTGGAGAAGACAACTCAGGGAAGTTTGAATAGAAGGAACCAATTTGGAAAGCACCAGAGCCACCTTGAACAGAGTCAATCACAAGTTGGAGTTTCTGTAAGGAACGCCCGACCTTCTGGATATTTCGGGAAGGCCAACGCTTTATCCCATGTTGCCTACATATTCTTTTCAAGGTGGTGGGGCAAACTGAGAATTACCAAGAGATACAAATGTCAAAATAAAAAGATAAATAGGAGAAGCTTAAAATTATTCACATTGCATGAAAGCAGATACAGAGTGAGTGTTGTATAATGCAATCAGAACTAACTTCAGTGTACTCTTTGGCACAAAACTTATTCCAGAGAAACACCATACAAACAACTTTTATTGAAGTAGATCCACAGTGTCATTGGTCTGTCAATTTAACCAGCAAAACACCATACCTTTAGAACTACCACAAGTAAAGGTGGGGCAAATAATTTTTTGTTAACAACAATGATTCAGTTAAACAGCACACAGCTATGCATAATGGTATTTGCTGACATACATATCAGCCAAAAAGCTACAGTAAAGCAGTACTAGTTAATGGCAACGGACCCAAAAAAATCCCACCTCCCTTGATTCAGGTTTATCCCATATCTGTAGATTTTTCTTTTAATACTAGCAAATTTTATGGAGGAATAACAGGTGTTTATCTGCTACTCAAACAAATCCTATGACTAAAATATCAAATTAAATATTCCATCATTGCCATAATGCTTACCACCAATACTTTTAGCAGCATCTTTTAGGCTCCCAGAAAAATATTTCTGAAGAACTTGCAAGGTGATAGTTTTCTCTGCCTTGGTACGTCTTTTCTCTCCTGTTCTACTCATAGCCACACTTGAGAAGCTACCCTCACCAGAATTAGAATCTCCACAATGTTCAACACTCCCTTTTTGGCTAACATCTTCTTCTTGTTTCCTAACCTCCACAGATTTTTCATCAGATACAGCCCTTGGTTTTTCAGTTTGGTTTAATGAGACATCACAATTTTTTTGGACCCCCATGACACAGGCTGCTGAGGATGAATTTTCTTGAGAATACTTTTCTGAATGGGTATCCACCTTTAACATCTTTTCTCTACTAAGTGTATCATCTGAAGGGACAATCACTTCACTAATAGGCGAATCAGTTTCTTCTTCCAGCTCCTTGTCTGTTACAACCCGTAAGATCCTACAAACCTGCTCAATGATGATGGACAAAGAACTAAGCATCTTCATCTGTTCTTCAGGATCCCTGCAACCCTTGGGCAAGAAGAACTCCAAGACAAAGTCAGCTGTACCAGTATGGATGCTCCGCAGACGTATTGCAACAGCACCACACAACCCAAATATCTTTGCATGGTGAGAGAGAGGATAATCGGTCTTTTTAAAGGAAGTTATGTTGGTTGAGAAGCAAGGTTGGTTTGTCAGAAATGCTCCCCCAGCTACACCTTGACCTTTTAACAAGTGATGCTCAGAGCAAGCCTCGTGAAAACCCTTCATATCAGGATCAGCAACGTGGCACACATGATCTACAGTTGAAACACAATGAACGTTTCCATCAGACTGCCAGCAACCCCTTTTACCCTGTTGGATACATGGGACCCAAGTCTGAGCTAAAGGCAATCCATGAGTCTCACAGGCACATCTCAAGACCTTTTGAATCTCAGGTAAGGCAGCTTGGTATGATATCCCGTTTGCCTGATAAACAAAGAAGTTTACACATGACCTCAAAAAGAAAAAGAATCTATTAATTTGCAACAGAATTCTTATCAAATTACCTTTATGTTTTGAACACTAAGAACCTCAGAGCTCCTAAGATCAACAGCCTGCAAATCAATAATTTTGTCCAATCAGATAAACAAGATTTAGATACCAACACGCTCTTAGGGCTCATACAAATAATTCTTAATTTGATGACAACTATCCAAGATCACTTGTTGATTTAGACAAAATTGTAGAAGAGTAACTCAAATGTTGGAGAACCAATCATAACCTCAGTACACAATAAGACAAAAAAGAACATCAAAACTAATTTTAACATACATTTATCAAAAGCTTGACTAACAGAAAACAGGTGGTAGATTTTGTGGTACTTGACTGAAACACTAACAATAGGTTAATTCATTCAGGAAAATGAGAGGACATTCAATTTTATGATTCAACCCACCGCATGGTATTTGTTCATCAATACATACATAGCATTACAGTGTAGAATTTTTAACAACAGAACTTGCTAAACTAAAATGCAGGACTGAACACAAAAAATTTAAAGGAAATTTTGAAAAAAAATATATATATAATGAAAGAAATAGGACCTCAAGTGCTTTGCAAACATTTTCAAGTTCAGATCGATACTGGATCTTCCTGGTTGTCATCACAACCTCAATAACGCCCAAGCAAGTCCTATTGCCTAGTTCAAAAACAGGAACAGCAAGGGTTCCATGAACATCATGCTGTTGAGCATGATTAACTCGTGGATACTCATCACTTTGAAAGAATTGGACATCAGGAGTCCACTCGGGAACCTTACCCAAGAAAACCCGACCAGGCAATCCCACCACATCTTTGGTATCCTTCTCAGCAGAAAAAATATAGTTAACAGAGATGTCCCTGTACTTTGCAAGCCTCTGACAGTTGAGACCAAGTTGGAAAGGTTGTTCATAAGTAGTCAGAACACGTCTATTAGCTCTATTTACAGGCACCCACAATTGAATAAGCACATCATTATGATTTGCAAAATCGTTAATGAGCCCAAATGCCCGTATTAATCTCTCCATTACAGTAGTTGCAGGTCCTGGATTTGCCATGGGCTCAATCCACCACCTTCTGCTTGTTTCAAAACCTTCATTAATGTAATTTTCTAAATCTCTACGGCTTCCATCAACAGTAACCATGCTCTGGCTCAGAGATTGAGTATTAAGAGGAGTTCTTCCTTGGAGTTCAATCATAGGAGAATTTCCCAGCAAGAACGGTTTTTGACTTTCTTCTTGGTTGCCCTGTTGAGATAAGCTAGTACTTGTGATTGTCTTGCCATTGATAGTCTCTAAAGCAGGAAACGGAAAAGATGAGTCAAAGAAGGAAGTAGAAAAAGAGGGACTAGGATGAGGGTACTCAGATCCATCAATAGTTTCAACCCAGCATCCTTCTGAGAACAATTCATTCATGTAGTCCAAGTCCATAGCAGAATCCAGTGGACCACCGAGCATCGTACCAGGTGAAAAAAGACTATCTTCCATGTCGATCTTTTCTCAAAACACCATTTTGACAATCTTATTATACTGAATTCTTGAAATTTAAGGTTTCCAAATATGATAGAATTCCCAAAAAAGAATAACCTCCCGTAACCAATCCAATCTTCAAATTCGATTCCCTTCAATTTGTTAACAATACAGAAAGTTCAGATAAGAATATAACTAAATCACAGAATTAGAAACAGGAAAATCAATTCAACTAAAACAAAAAGAAAGAATTCATGCCTATTGCATCCGCAAAATCAAAAAATCAAAAAACAATAAAAATCCACTTTCCAAGAATTCTTTCAACATGTCCAGACAACATCTTTCTCACTTTTGAGAAAAGAGAACACCCAAAAACGTTTTAACAAATAATCATTCATAATAAGAAAACTAATAAAATTAATGACCCAAAACAAAACAAAATATCAGATGAGATGAAGCAGAAAGAATACTCGCTATGCAGAGATTCCGGAAGATACCCAAATGCATGTTTGTTTTATCTTTGTTTCAAAAATGGTCGAAAATATTGCCTGAGAAGCAGGAACCTGAACAACAACCACCTCATAAAAAGCTAAAAAGAGTGTGTCCCTCCACAAGAAAGAGCCCTTTTGTCATAGTAATTATCTTAGAATTTTACACTTCTAGTGATTCCAGGCAAAGAGTGTGTCCCTCCACAAGAAAGAGCCCTTTTTTCATAGTAATTATCTTAGAACTTTACACTTCTAGTGATTCCAGGCAATTTGTGAGGGAAGAAGATGCTGATTCCAACGTGTGACTGTGACCCCACCTGAATAACAACTCACATTTTGAGCCTTGGGATACTCGCTGTAAAGTAAAGTCAAAACTCTCAAACACTTGCACGGCTCTAAGAGCATTGAGATTGAGTGCCGGAACTCATCTTTTTGCTGATGCAATGCAATTAGATACTAAAATATTATTCTAATGCATTTCTTTAATACGAGAGGAATCAGATTTGTCCGAAGTGGTAAAAAATGGAAGCGTTGTGTACACCACTTTCTTCTGTTTAGATGCTCAGCCACGGCTTCCTAATTATCTCTTTCATATTTTAAGTTATTATATAATATTCACAAAACAACAGGTGCACAACTGGTTAGAAGAGCCTCAAGAGTTTTGTCTGCCTGCTTTGGTTGAACTTTTAAATCTTTTTCTGCTATTTTTCTCTTCTTGCCAACTAATGCTTTGTTGACTGAATACCATTTCCATATCTCACCTCATTTTGTTTCTAATAAACATTAAAAAAAAATGCAAAGGTAATACTGAAAAGCATTTTCTTTTCGGGTAACTTCCAACCCCACTAACCTTTCACTCCCATAATCATCATATAAGTTTCTAAAATCACCCTCTAGGTTGATTTCATTTGTACTTGAGATTGTTAATTCTCCACTACTCAACCATTTTCAAGAAGTATTAAATGCCTCCTTAATTAACGAAACCTCTCTAAGAAAAAAAATAGTGGAGTGATTTTTACATAAACAAAAGCTAAAGAATCAAAGAACCTAAAGTCATGGTCAAATTAAAGAATAAGGAAAACCGAGATGGAGATGATGAGGTAAATTGGGATTCTAGTGGGATCTAGATAATTATTATTAATTCTAGTATGGTCCACTCTCGAATTAAATAGTAGGATTTTGTATAATGGTGGCAGATTTCTTTTGTGCTTAAAGCTCTCTGAGAGGTTAGGAATGGTTGTTTAGATGCCTCCGCCAACCATAAACATCATTAATTACTCATTTCCAATTATTTTTCCTTTTCTTATAATATTATTAAATTCTGGAGCAAGTTTTAGTAACTGTGATATAATGAAAAGATGTGGAAGCAGAGATATGTGATATGAGAATGAGAGTGAGAAACAGAAACCAGATGACTGAGAATGGCGTCCGTCTTTGAGACGATCAGGTTCGTCTGACTTCTCTCAGGTGTTGTAACATAAGGTAGGGGTCCGTCCTGCCATTGGCCTTGGTACTGAATGCTCTCATTTAATGGGCAAAGTCAACCCAGATCTCTACCCACCTGGCAGCGTAATAGAACCCCTTGTGGCAACAAGAAAATAGAAAAGATAATTATTAGTTCTTCGAGGGCTTCCCGTACAGGTATAGAAATCGGATATGAGAAATGGAAAACTAGGAAGTAGTTACAATCATGTCTATAAGTCTAATTCTAATTAATTAGTAGTTGGTGAGATGCTTGAAAATACAACAATAACAACCATCTCCCTCCACAGTCTACCATGAATAATGTTACAGACATTTATGATTTGTATCGAATTTTTATATCGATGTATGTGACATCCAGTTAAACGTAATCATGTTAGAGATAACACTCGTTTTTCATGAATGAACGACCGTCCAACAATTATAAACATCTGTCAATATTTAATAGACGACCGTTCATCACGAATGGATGGTTGTCTAATAATTATAGACGTCTACCTATATTTTATAGACAATCATACATTACAAATAAATGACCGTCTACCAATTTAATGAATGTTTATACTAAAATAATAATAGACTTCCGTCTATATGATATAAAATAGGGTACATAATTGTTTGGACTCTCATTCATAAAATTGCTAAGAGGACGGCCGTTCCGTAACTTGGGCGTCCATCTTTTACCATTAACAATTTTAAATTTACTTAATGCTCAGATATTTCTCTATATGACATATTGAATACAAGCATTAATTGCACCAACTAATCTTGTTGAATACAATAGAGTAAACAACATATTCCCCACCCAAGGTTTAGCTAAAGCCTAAGTTAATACTCCTCTTTCATTTATTCCAAACAACCACCTTAAATTAACACAGTTAATGACTATTGGGTTCTGACGGATGTTTTTACTAAACTGCCCTTCACCCCATTCCAAACCACCACGGCATCACCGTAGCCAGCCAAACCACCACCAGAACCCATTCCAAACCAACCCATCCCAAACCACCACCATAGCCATCCAAACTACCCCATTCCAAATCCCATAGCCGGCCAAACCACCACCACCACCACCACATCCCATTCCAAACCACTCCATCCCAAAATCACCACAGCGTCCAAACCACCATCACAGTCGGCCAAATCACCCCATTCCAAACCCAATAGCAACCACCAAAAATCACACCATTTCAATAAGAAAAACAAAATACAAAAGCAAAAGCAAAAAACAAAATAGAAACCCTAGGGAGAGGGGGCTTAAATCAGTGTTGAAAGATGAGAGATCGGGAATGGAAATCATGGGGTTATTGAAGAGGGCTCTTTGATGAGTTAAATGGTGGGTTTGATGAAGATTTTTTGGTGATGGGGCTGCCGGAAAGAAGTTGGCGAAGTGCAACACTTGAGGTGAAGGGTGATGGTGAAAAGGGGAGTCAAGGTGGTTGAGGGGGTGGTGGGTTGGGATGGTGAGGCGTCGGGGAGGAGGAGGTGTGGAGGGAAAAAGAAGAAGATGGGAGGAGGAGGCGGAGATTAGGAATAAAGGGAAAGAGAAGAGGAAGAAGATGAAAGGAGGAGGCGTACTGGGGAAGAAATGGGAAGGGAAGAGGGAAAAAAAAAAAAAAAAATAGAAAGACTAATTTGCCCCTTCACTGTTAAAATAAAAGAAATAGTGTTAATTTAAGGGTGCGTATTTGGAATAAATGAAACTAATGGTATTACATTGAGATTTCGCTCAACCTTGGGTGGGAACATGTTTAGTCAATACAATATGATATAACAAGTTAGACACCAACTAACAAGCATTAATTGCACCGGTTTGACTTAAAATACTCTCTGAAAAAAATAGATGCTTGTCAATTTCCTTTCTTAATTTTAATATGCAAAAATTTCAGGACGTCCGCCTATATCTTTATTATATTTTAAAAAATTTATGGACCAACGTACATTCGAGATGGACGCCTATTTATAGAAAATAGACTCATATTTATATAATATAGATAAACGTCTATAATTATTGGATGGTTATTCATTCATGAAAAATATGTTTTCTAATATGATAGGGTCTCATTGAATGTCACGTCTTTCAATATAAAAATTTGGTATAAAAAATCGGTGTCTGTAGTATTATTGATCTATAAAATCAGTTGAAAAAGACAAAGAATTACATTAGTTTATATAGGTCCACCTACGATAATAGGCATCACCTTTATCTATAATAAACCTTTCGATCATGGTCCACCTCAATCCTTTTACCACCCAACATATTCCTAACTCATAATATATATATTATAACTAGATTATCTAGACCAGTTTATGTGTATTTTAACTATTTCTTTAGGTTTATTGAACATCATACAAGTCCAAAAGATCAAATAAATTATAATATTATTATGATAAGTAGTCTCAAATAAAAAACTTAAAGATTTAAACAAACTTTTTTTACCTTTAGATCAATCCCTTGGAGTTCTAATTCATCATATTAGGGTTATAAATATCCTAATCCTCATATGATTCACTCAAATATTGCCTCCCTCAAAAAAGCTATCCCACAGCGGAGAGTCGAACTCGAAAGTGTAAATTGAAAGTCGAACTTGAAAGTGTAAATTGAAGACATGCACAACCATCTTAATTCGCCCCATTGAGTTACCAATGGATGCCTCTCCATTTACATTTATGGAAATGCCAATAATATTCTTTTAACTCTTGTACTTTTTTCTTTTCATTTTTAATCTTTTTTGTCCTTTCAGGAAAAATGGAAAAAAAGATATACAAACTGGAAAATGATCTGACATAGAATGACTCTTAACACATAAGGAAACTCGCACATTACACAGTTTCCTACTTAACAGCAATGCAAATATAATAAGAGGACTTGTCTCATCATCCTATAACTAAGAAGATGCTGCTAAATCATCTGCATTTAGATAATAATAATAAAAAAAATAAAAGATTATTTATATAGTATCATCCACGATAATAGAGTGGATCTACCAAAGGAGAAAAACAAATCACAGGGGGCAATTTTAAATAAAATGGTACTTAAGCGTACAAGCACTGTTTATTAGAGACATTTAGTCAAGGGTTACACAACAATATAGTTTTGTTTGGTATTACATAGTAGCACACCACCAAAGAATCAACATTCTTTAAACAGCAGTCATCCTTCCCGTTTACTCCTTCCTCACTCTCTGCGGATCCAAATCGTTCAGCTTGGTGTCACCTTTAGAAGCTTGGCCTCACATTGAGACGAGTTGCAATCTTCTGACCCAGTGATTTGTCCGCCTGTGATCAGATAATTAAGTAATATCAAGTAAGAAAAGGTAATGCCCATCCACTCAACATATAGCATTATAAGCCCATATTTGAAAGGCATGGTAGTCTAACCTGAGTCCAGTATGAGATCCATATGCTGCGGATCTCATGAGTGACACGTTTGTCAGATAAAGCATCAACCCATCGGCAGATGAACCGCTCTTGCCTGGGAAAGATTAAAAAAAATGTTAAAATTA